TACTGATCATTACGTGAATGCTGAAGTATGACGAAACGGGCGAAAGTGGAAGAAAATAGTTGATTCACCGCCAAGTAATTACTTACACAATTATTGACAAAGAACTTGTAATATCTATTATGCCAGCTTCACAATGAAGAAGCTATCACCACAATTTAATTGGGTTCAGTAGAATCAATCTCAAATTCTCAATCCCTGAAGACAAAATCGGCCCGGATTGGGTTGGTTGCAATAGATAGATATTTATTTGCATCACCATAATGTAACATAGGGTATAGCTGAACAACAATAGCTGAAGACGCAAACCTGGTGTCAGACTGTGAGCCGCCATAGAGATCAAATAGGTCACTTGGGCCGACTTCTTAAGGTGCTTTACGAAGCACGGAATTGATTCAAGCCTGCAATTTCCTTTCCATACTAAAATCATGAAGTGATATTTCTATTTGGGTTTTTGGCAACTTAAAACTTTAATATAGGGACAAAAATGTACATCATATTTGGGCATTAGCTCATCGATCTTACTGCTCTATCTTTATCTTGTGACGTCAACTCAGAACCCATCAGCTTCAATGAATCGCTTTTAACGTCTTGAACGCCTCGATTGTTTGTGCCGTCGTCATCTGTCGAAAAAGCTATTGCTAATATTAAATGTCTAAAGAAAGTGATGACTCCAAGCGTTTTGCTTTTCTAAATACCGAGTTGGAAAGGGTAATTTGCTATTAATTGCGTTATTACTCATTACATAAGCATCGCAACTTCGTCTTCTTGCTGATGTAAGTAAGATAAGATGTACTTAAATTACTAACAAAGCTTACCTGTACAAAAAACTTTCGAGTTCGAATCGTTTGCGTATTCGAATCGCCATCAAAAGATTTAGTACGAAAACTACAGCAGCGCCCTTGTGAACTTGTCCTAAAGTGAACTTAGTATGAGAAATGCTTGCAAGAAACTTATTTTGAGAATGAAAGTTGTCACATTATCGTTTAATTCGAAGGTTGAGCATCGAATTTTGTCGAATACGCAAACGATTTGAAGACGAAAGTTGTTCAAGCTAGAGATACTGAAGTCCATAAAAGTGATGGTAGGTTGATAGGACCACCTCGTTTCATTGAGCCTCTTGATATTCAGTTCATAAATGCTGCACTCTCAAAAAGCCCGTCCCTGTCTTCATTTATCATCCCAATTTACAACCGTGCAGGCCAATTGAATCACTTTAGTTTTCAAAACCTTAATTTTCTGCGCTTAAAAAACACAATCATTCATTTTGCCAAGTCCCGAAAATGACACGCACTCCTGTAATTCGTTTAAAGTGGTGTAAGTGTACAAAATGTTGCAATTAAAACCAATTTGGACACATACAGCGGTCCTAATTACCAAGCCGGCACGATGAAGGAACACCATCGGCCTCCCTCTACACTCGGAGTAATGGTGCAAAAAAGGACCAGAGTCGCATTTACAGTGAACGACTTTACTTTGATTTGACGATTTGAAAACATATTCATTTGATTACCTACGAGAGAATTGTCAAATCAGGCAAGATACCAAATATGAAACTTTCCTGCTACCATACTTTTACCAGTTTCTCAAATATTTGAACATGTGCCCATGCCCATTGCAGCCCATTGTCAAATTTTGATCCTTCAAAGTCCGTGCAAAGTAGGAAGAAGACAATTAAAATTGTATTTACCTTCACGTGGACCAGACCTTTTCCTTTTAGAACAGAATCGGTTAACCACACCAATCTCAAATTGTCCAACCTGTTCACAATACGCTACTCCAAAGGCTACAAAAGCTCGTGAAATTCGCTTTAGTGACGTTGCCTGGATCACTCTACATTTTAGTCCTAGACCAAATATGTCTTTACATGTAAAAGTCTCTCCACGAATCGTGACGTGGTGGATCATCATCAGCGGCCAGTCCATAACTCATGTATGAGTAATGGAGGTCGTTGCCTCCGTAATACTGCTTTTGTGAACTCCGCGTTTTTTTGGCGTCTTAGGGACCTCATATAAGCAAGCATTTGTTGTAATTCGCTACAAAGAACGCCGGGCGTTTCGACAAGACACAGTACAGTTGGTATGCTAAGAAAGGGATGTTTCAGTTTTATAGATTTGCTAATAAATACTAACAAATATGCTTTCTTATAGCTCATTTGTTGTGAACCAGTTTTTTTTACATAAAAGGCATTTGAAACAATCTACTAAAAAAAACTAAAGTAAATCTGTTATTTATATTCCTTAAACTCTATCATACATACTACCTACTACTTACCACCAACCACCAAGTGTAATACTATAGCATAACTTTTTATGTAGTTACTTTTGTAGAGTAACTAAAATGAGCAAACGTAGTACTTTAGCACAACACAATAAACATCACGCAATAGAATGCGTGGAACACCCAGGCATACATTGTGGTGCACACTAAAAAGGTTCTATGAGAAGTACTTACTACAAAGTGGAAGATCTTCTTAATTAATTCGGAGCCTTATACCAAAGACGTAAAATTCAAAATCCATTGGGAGAATTTGTCATTTGTAGTAGGTGGATGTGCTTTCGAGTGTACGTCTAAGACATTAATTTTAGCACTAGGTTAGACCACAAAACCGCGGGGTGGAACGAGTGCTAGGGCTGGCTCAACGACAGTTTAACTTTCCCCCGGGACAAACTTGACCTTCGCTGGTTGTGTTTTTATTGGCGGTCAAGCTGCAGATCTTGACTACACAGGAGTTGCAGCGGTGGGAACGAGAAGTGCGAATAGAGCCGTGAACTAGTCTTAACGATAATCAAAAAAAAGTGATACTTATTGCGAATTTTAGAAAAGTGTAACCTTTTTTCAGTGATTAGTGTGAGCCGCACAAAGTTTAGGTTACTCAGATTACTGTCCAATCATTATCCCGACCACATTATGGCTTTAATCGACCTTTTACAAACGTAATAAGAGCACTTATCCGAGTATTCAGGCGCCACCCCTGCAAGCGGCGCACGCGCAGTGGGTGTCGATGATTTACGCGGCTCGTCCGCTTCATTCATATTTATTGGTGCGGTAATTTTTTCACCAGTAAATCTTAACCGAATGACATATGTGACACCCCATCGAACTATCCCAACGAATACACAATGAAACTTTATTATAACTCCACTATGCCTTTAAGGGCATAAGTGTGCATAAATCGACTCCATTATGCGCTGTAACTCCTTACTTCGTAAAAGAACGTTTAAATCAGATGCATAGTTGCAAAAAACTGTTTAAGATTCCGCACGTTGAAGGCTTTCATTTGCTTGTAAATGGTAGCTACGGAATATAAAACCGTATTCGTAGTTACGAGACTATAAATAAGTAAGTTAACTTTAATTTCAAGTGACCTTATCATTTTAGTATTTGCGGTCATGATTTTGGCGATTTATTTTTCTGTTATTTAATGAAACCGTCTAAATAACTACTTGTATGTAACTTCATTCAAACTGGCTATAATATTGCATAATTGATGAGACAAAATAAACCACACTAATGAAATTGAAATCTATGAAAATGTACTGTTAATTACCACCTTTGATTAACCTAACCGCGCTAAATAATTAAATATGCAAAAACAGCGTCATTATGCAACGACTTTATCTATAATGCACCCATCTAATGTTCTTAGCCCGTAATGATGATTTATCCCGCCACGGATAATAATATGTCTCTATAAAACAGGATAAATTGAAACGTTTATGCGCGCGCGCCGCCAAAGCGCTATTCACGCCATCTTGTTTATTTTGTCAATTAATGCAGAGATTTTCAAAGTACCAATTTTGTTGGACTTAAAAGACTAGATAGTTTTCACAAATTTATTTTTAGAAAGAATTATGGACAAAAAATGAAGTGCTCACCGACCAACATAATAATTTAAACTCATCAAAAGCAAATCTCCTACACGATCTAAGGTTTTGTTGCGCGTTATTCGTAACATTAAAATGGGCTCGCGTGATCCGGCAGACGATCTCAAAACTTCCAAAGAACAGCTCTACAATTTTAAATAATGACAGGTTCATATACATATAGTGTTTGATGGGAGACCGCCGGGTTCCTACCCACTCGTCTCGTAAATAATCAGCTCAAGTTCGGGTTCCCAACTGTGTTGGAACCCCCAGCCAGCTGGGTTATCGGCAGACTCTTTTAGGATTATAGATATCGCTTTAAAACAGTGTTGAATAAAGTTGAATAAAGCATACCAACACCCCATTAAAATCGAAAATAGTTACTAATAAATTGAGATGATACAATTCCAATATTACAATCTAATGTATTTGTTTATAAAATGCAGAAATCTTTGTTGCATTCTAAAGTTGTTACAGAGTTCACTCACTGTTTACTTTATATGCCAGTAATGAAGCTTAACAAACCAATACTATATCAATTTTATTATCCTCGACAGTTGAATCCGTAATGGGTTCATTCCACCCCGACTTTGAGAACCGCTGGATTAAAGGGTGCATGAGTTTACCACACGCCTCACTCCCCGGCCTTGAGACATGCGATCGGGTCGTTAAGATCACTTCAATTATCCTGCCTGCCCGGGTCAGGCTGGTTTGAAATGCAGACTTTTTACGACTGGATACTACACAGATGGTAATTCCTTGCGTCATTCGATAAATTGATGAGATTGCCGCAATGATATGGACACGTTTAATGTCATGCATATTGATTTTTATTATTATTAGCAACTTTAGTGTATATTCCTTCACGTGAGTCACTGTCTTCGGTTATCGAACTTGAACCTATAAACAAAAATAGAACATCACAAAGAGATTTTATTTTCAGGGTAAAATGTTTCTTACGCCAAAGCGCCATGTTTTCTGATGCTGGGCTTAACCGCTGCCTAGATAGTTACAAGAATATTTCTTGGCATAGCGACATAATGTAGATCATAAACTGTACGTTACTGACAAACACTAGCTGTATCTCACGTCCAAATTAGTCCTTACTATAAAATTAAACGTGTCTATTTGTTTCAGTTTACACCGACCAACCAGTGTCCTCGGCGTCTCCCCCGACCCGGGACAAGATCAACGGGGAGGAGAAGGCCAGGTCCCGCCGCAGGGACACCTGGGCCGAGCCCACCACCGCTCCAGTCAACGACGACGATGGTGAGTCTGCTGAACCAGAAAAAGAATTACGACTGTGCGTCATGATTCTAGGAAACCTACAAATGATGACGCAAATTACGATATAAAGATAAATAACTTAGAATTTTATGTGACGTAAGGCATCTTTCAATCTAATAATTACCCTTTTTCAAACCATACTTCCTGGTTTATCTAAAGTTATTCTTAGACTAAATAACTAAATACTATTGACATAATTTTCATACCGAGAATTTTTTTAAATGAGTGAACGTTAACGTCTTGGTCGTCGGAACCGTGATAATGATGCAAAAATTTAAAAAACTAGGTTAATTTAAATAAAGGTTTCCCATTATTGGTAAATTCTTGGCACTTGGTGTGTCCCATTGCTTAAGTCAAAACCTACACACGAATAACGCTAATTTGTCCAGCAGGTGTCGGCGTAACATCGCCGCTTCTGCAGCAGCAGTGCCAGCAATACGACGAGCAGCTGCGAGACATCGCCGCGTCGCTGACCAGGCCGCGCTCGCGCCGCGCGCTGCCGCCGACCCTCGAGAGACCCACAAGACTGCCGCCACCAGACCGACTACCGGTAAGTCGTCTACCTAACTACGAGGGGTGTTCAAAAAGTAATGAGAATGGGATAGCCATCATAAAAACCTGAAAAAAAATGGGCAGATAGCTTAATTCTTTACTAGAAACTGGTAAAAAAATCATTTAAGTTCACCATTGCGTTTAAGAATTACTCGTATATTCATCTGAACGCGACCAGCCGGATGATTTTCTTGACTCTCCCTAAAGGCCTAAAAAGGACACTGCCTCGTATAATGAAAATATTAATTGTACGTAAGTTAACAGCAGTTTAACCTAAATATCTTTGCTCATAGGTTCGGGGCACTCCAGATGGTGGCGTGCCACCCGAAGAAGGTAGCTCTAGCTCTTCAAGCGAAGGCAGCGAACCAACTGACGCTGCAGAAGTCACCGAAAGCGGCGAGGGGGGAAGAGTCGAACTGCCTGCAGAGAAACTCCTCCATGCCAGGGCTGGCTGGCTTCAAAGAAGGGGGCCCGGGGGCTGGTCGCGACACTGGTTCGTGCTGAGAGGAGCAGCACTTCTGTACTTCAGGGACCCTCACGCGGAACACAGGGGTCTCATGGATGGAGTCATTGACCTCAGCGGAGTAGCAAGAGTGGTAGAGTTGCCGACATCTGCATCTACAAATGGATATGCCTTTGAAACAGAAGTAAGTCACAGCAATTTTTTTTGTTCAATTGTTAGATATGATGAGATCGCTAACTTCAATTTTGCTTTTCAGACTTGGGACGGCAAACATATAGTACTGTCTGCAGTAACGGCCGGCATCAGAGCCAACTGGATGTCAGCTATTCTGAGAACAGCTGGCCTTCCTGACTCTGGACCTCTAACTCTGATACTCCGCGAGGATTCAGTGGATCAAGCTTCTGAATCATCAGCGTCACCTGTTACACCAGTCACTCCTATTACTGGTAAATCGGGGCCATTCTCCTCGGATGAAGAATATAGAACGGCATCCGAAGGCGGGAGGAGGGACAGCGCAGACTGGGGAGATGTGGCCCCACAACCTCCACCTTCTCCAATCTTAAACAGAACTCCTATTTCCAAAGTAAAAGAAAAAGTTCGCGCTCGAAACTATCTTCAGCCGAAGACGGATAACACAAAAGCGGACAAAGATGAAACCGATGCAACCAAAGAAAAAGAACGACCGTCGGACGAGGTGGACGAAAATGAGAAGCCTACGGAGCCTCGCAAACGTAGCTACATATCGACAATCGACAAGCAATCTATCGAAATCGAAGCTCTGCGTAAACAGCTCAAGCTAGCGCTGAGTGACGTCAACGCAGCCGAGTCGGAGCTCGCCAGACTGCGGCAGCTCAAGTCGGAGGCTGCTATGAGAGAAAAGAAAATGGAGGAGCTTGTTACGACCTTACAACAAAAAGAAGAAGAACTATCGAAAAGAACGAAAGAGGCCGAAAACCTTAATACAATAAAGCAGCTATACAATCAGGACAAGTCGATGTGGGAGAATAAGCTAACGGAGACACAAAATGTCCTCAAAGAGTCTACGGAGCACTGTGAGTTGCTAACGAGACAACTAACTTCTGCTCAAGAAACTGTCAAACAACTTCAAAGGGAATTAAACGACTTGAATGAAAAACTCCTTAAGAGTGTCAAAGAAAATGAAAGTTTGTACGCTAGGATCAGAGACCTTGAAGGGCGCGTTGTAGCAGAATCGCCAACAAGGGAAAAGAGAAAGAGCATCGGGTCCCTGAGCGATTTGACAAACATGAATCAAGATTTAAATATAGACTCATTGGAAAAGAGCAGACTGATTGAAGAATATGTCGACCTTAGAGAAAGATTCATGAAAGCCATTCAAGAAATTAAAGCTATGAAGAAGGAGCTTCGCGAGTCCCACAATATGTACGATGAGCTAGAAATTACAAATATGAAATTAAGAAATGAGATGAAATTGAGGGAACAGTGCAGCAGATCAGAAATAGATTTAATGGCAGCTCGTATATTAGATTTGACTCAGAAACTCACGGCGTCGGACAAACAGGTCCGCACTCTAAAACATAAGATACAGAAAACTGAGTCGAGAGAGAAAAGGCGCAGTTTATCACTTAAAGGTAGAGAAGCTTTAACACTCGGGAAGGAAGTCGAAGAGAAACTGACGGAGTTAGAAAACAAAATCACCATGTTGGAATCAGGGGAACCCGTTCCCACGATAAACTCACCATCAAAGAGCACCTCCCCATCCAAAGAGAAAGGTACGAAAGCGGAGGGCTCTGATGAAAAGCGCATGAAGCGGCTGGCCGCGCGACTCCGGAGAAAGTCTCTCGACAGCGCCACGAGCTCCGAACCTATGAAAATGCTAGTCAGACTCAGCTCACTCGAAACTAAAGTGGCCTCCGCGCTGGAAAGCCGACGAGACCTCGGCAACTCGTGCGAGTCATTAGGACAGGCGATGAGATCCACCGACAGTCCTGTCCTCAACGAGAGTTCGGAGTCATCTTCTCTGGTCGGCACCCAGTACCAGAGGCACCTTCTCGATCGGCTGCAGAGTCTCGAAAGCGTCGTCATCCATTCGAGGAATAAGGTCAACGAGTGTCTCTGTCAAATGAGTGCGATGCGCGCCGCCAAGTCGAGGAGGTCGCCGTCCCCGAGCCTCGAGAAGAAATACAGCGTCAGGTCGATGGAGAAATGCCTCACCGAGGTCAGCAAGCGACTTCAGGAATGCTTCGACCGATGCGTAGTCGACCCGGAGCGCTCCGACGACCGCGAAATCAACGACGGCGTCGCACGCGCCGTATCACAACTGGAGGAGCGACTGAGAACCAAGTTGCTGGAAATATCGAGGCGAAAGGCGGCACTCTACGAGGCCGGAGAACTGACGCAGAGACGCAGCCTCGAGCTGCTAGCGGAGAAACTGGCGTACGAGGCCGTCCTCGTCGGAAAGATACAGGAAGCGCTGGAGGCGGCGGACGGCGGGGCTTTCTTCGCACGACTAGTTCGGGCCGAAATCGCCGAGACCGGGAAACTCGTCGACGACCTCCGACGACGCATCGCGGGCGAGACCCGCAACTCCTCGACGAGGACCTCCCTGGACTATCTCGCGAGAATTCTGTCGCGGCGGATCGACCTCGCCAGCGGCGCCCGCGACCCGGCGCGGCCGAGGCCCATCGATCTGGCGATCCACGGCGCCGACCTGGACGCGCTGAAGGCGGCGCAGCGCGAGGTCGGCGAGGCGGTGGACCGGTACCGCGCCGAGCGGCTCGACGAGCTGCGCACCGCGCTCGGCGGCGACGAGGCGGAGCGGCGCTGCGGCGAGGCGACGGCGGCGGCGCGCGAGGCGCTCGGGGCGGAGCTGGTGCGCGCGGAGGTGGCGCGCGCGCTGTCGCGGGCCGCGGCCGCCTGCGAGCGGCGCCTGGACGACGCGCGCCGCGCGCACCTCACGCTCGCGGCGCAGGACCGCGCCGACCTGGAGCTGTGGTGGCGCGCGGCGCACGACCGGCTGCGCGCCGAGATGGAGGCCGTGGCGCGCGACGTGGCGGCGGCGGGCGGGGCGGGGACGCCGGGCGGCGCGGGGGCGGGGACGCTGCGGGAGCTGGCGGAGGTGCTGGCGCTGCGGGCGCTGGTGGACGCGCGCGTGGCCGTGCTGGAGGGCACGTACCGCGCGTCGGGCCCGCGGGACGGGGACGCCGCGCGCCGCTCGGCCGAGGACGCCGTCTCCTCGCTGGACGCGGACCCCGCCGAGGAGGCGGAGTTCGTGTACCTGTTCCAGCGGTTCTCGAACGAGTGCCGAGCGCTCTTCTCCGGTGACTGTTCGGGCAACAGTGACGACTCGATGAAGATCGGCGAGAGCCTCGAGCGGGTGGAGGCGGCGGTGGCGGCGGTGGCGCGGCAGCTGGCGGGCGCGGAAGACGCGGGCGAGGAGGGCGCGGCGGGCGCGGGCGGCGTGCTGGAGCGCGTGGAGGCGCTGCGGCGGCGCGTGGAAGCTCTGCAAGCGCTGGTGCCGTGCCAGCACTGTAAGCAGCTCCAAGACGCGCTGGACAGGTGAGTTCGATACCTTATCATCATGACCATATAGTTAGTTAGTTTTGCAGGGCAATCGAATACCGCACTTAGCCTCCTGATTGGGCCATTGTGCGCGATTTGTGGTTTATCTTCCTACTCCAACCACCCCAGATCCCCCCAGAAGGCGAGCAACCCGTCTAGGCTGCTGCAGGCCTCCTGTAGCGACGATGGTGATCGAAGAAATTGAGCCTGTTGTTCTTCCACGCTACTGCACTCCATGAGCACATGCTGCGGTGTTTCCTCTGCCTCCATGCACCTCATGCACAGTGGGCTGTCTGTGACACCTATGTTGTATATGTGCTTGTTTAGCATACAGTGTCCGGTTATGACACTTAGGACCTTGCGGATGCTGTCCCTGTTTAGTCTCATGAGGCTGCGGGAGAACTTTTTCGATACGTCCGGAACCGCATCTTTTGTTTGCCTGCATCCTTCGCTATTTTTCCATTCTGTGTGGTGTTTTTCTTCTGTTTTGAAAAGCAGCCAGTTCCTGATCTGTGCTTGTGACCATATACTTTTCACCGTTTCTCCGTCGAGCAGGATTGACTTAATCCTTCTTCTCCTCCAGGCTGCAGGCGGAGCGCGCGCGCGGCGAGTGCGCGCTGGCCCAGCAGGCGGGCGCGCTGGCGGCAGCTCGGCGCGCGCGGGCACAGCTTCAGGCGCAGCACGAGCGCGAGCGGGCGGCGCTGCGGGAGCGCGCGCGCACGTTACAGCGCCGGCTCGCCGCGCTCGACTCCGAGTACTCGGCGCAGCTTGAAAACTTACGCGCCGCCTACCAGGTCAGTATTTTTATTTTTTTATTTTCATTTATACTTCAGCACACAAAGTAACAAATGCACTGTGGCGGACTTAATGCCGGATGGCATTCTCTGCCAGTCAACCACGGGTCATGCAGAAAGAGTAAGGCGGTGCAAAAAATTTACATTTTTGATAATAAACCTACTTACATAAGATTACATAGAATAAATAACATAATACAAATAAATATAATAGACATACACATAAATACATAAACTTAATAATGTTATAGATGTACATTGTACACATCACTCATGTCTGAGATAGCGAGAAAATTGAGAAAAAAGGTCATTCCTTGAAATGTTTGCGCAGAGCCTTTTTGAAAGTAAAGGACAATGGGCAAAATGGTACCCGGCTCCAATAGATATGTGTCTAGTATCGTTTGAAAGGTCTTACCAAGATGAACAACTTTTACTATGACCACCAGCCTCAGATCTGGTTGTGTTCGAAGATAAACATACTTTTTTGCGGAATGGTACCCGGCTCCAATAGTTATGTTTGTAGTGTCATTTAAAAGGTCTCACCAAGACGAACAACATTCAATATGGCCACCAGCCTCAGATCTGGTTGCGTTCGAAGATAAACATACTTTTTGTGTAACCAAAGTATCAACGTGTCCATCGTATGGTACTTAGGTTATGCGAGGCATGAAGGGTTTACTGCTCCAGCATCCTTCCTAAACTCTATAACAATTATTGATAGGGATAATTGTGAAATAAATATTTTTATTTAAAGAACTACTACCCCCTTATTAATAAAAAGTTACACCCAGGAAGAAACATGGACTGAAATGTCATTTCCATACCAAATGACAATTTAAGCCAGAGTTAACTAGGGTGTAACTTTGATTAATAAAGAGGNGGGCGGCGCGGGGGCGGGGACGCTGCGGGAGCTGGCGGAGGTGCTGGCGCTGCGGGCGCTGGTGGACGCGCGCGTGGCCGTGCTGGAGGGCACGTACCGCGCGGCGGGCCCGCGGGACGGGGACGCCGCGCGCCGCTCGGCCGAGGACGCCGTCTCCTCGCTGGACGCGGACCCCGCCGAGGAGGCGGAGTTCGTGTACCTGTTCCAGCGGTTCTCGAACGAGTGCCGAGCGCTCTTCTCCGGTGACTGTTCGGGCAACAGTGACGACTCGATGAAGATCGGCGAGAGCCTCGAGCGGGTGGAGGCGGCGGTGGCGGCGGTGGCGCGGCAGCTGGCGGGCGCGGAGGGCGACGAGGAGGCGGCGGCGGGCGGCGGCGCGGGCGGCGTGCTGGAGCGCGTGGAGGCGCTGCGGCGGCGCGTGGAAGCTCTGCAAGCGCTGGTGCCGTGCCAGCACTGTAAGCAGCTCCAAGACGCGCTGGACAGGTGAGCCGTCGATTCCTTATCATTATCGCCGTATACTTTTCACCGTTTCTCCATCGAGCAGGACTGACTTAGGCCGGCAATACACGGACCGCAGTCAGGGTCGACAGCTTCAAGCTACGATTGCACAGTGAACTGCAGAGTTTTATGGACGCACATATACAAACTCGAGCAGTTGCAACTGATTCGGGCGGTCGACAGCACGGTGAATTTTCATCGTGCGGTCAAGCAGTCGCCAGCCATACACTGGATGCTCGAGCTGTCGACAGCTCTCGCGCAGTTACCTCCGTCCACTTTCTTCGTTCCGCGGCGCGCGCGCTTGTGATTTGTTGAGCAATTAATACCAACTGCTCGAGCAGTCATCACTGGCAGCTTCAAGCTGTTGACTCTTGACTGATAGAGCGGTCCGTGTATGTTGATCACTGACTAACTGCTCGAGCTGTCCGTGTATTGCCTGCTTTAGTGCTTGTTCACGTAGGCACGCGCGGGCGCGGGCGCGGGAAACGTCGCGAGCTCGTGTTCACATTGACGACCAGGCGTTCGCGCGAGTGTGATGTACCTACTATCGTTTCTAGCGACAAGTGAAACGCGCGCGCCGCCGCTAGTTTGACATGAACACACACAAACATCTTCACGCGTTGAAATTACCGCGAGCGCTCCGCGCGCGCCAGTCGCTAGCTTGCCCGCTAGTTAGACCGCACGTGCGTTTCGTACGTGAACACTTGGAATCACTACATAATATGTTTGATATTTCGTCACCGCGCCCGCCACCGCGCCCGCGAGTCAACGTGAACAAGCACTTATAGTATTTTTCACCTAAGATGATCCATCCCAAGTAACATTTTACTCCATTTAAGAGTTCACATTTAGTTCCAATGTGTACTTAAAGCATTAGTACAGTTCACTCATGATGTATAAGCTGTATTATTGCAATTAATTACACCTATACCTGTCTAAGGGACTTATAGGAGTGTAGACTAGTGTAGAGTTATACTTTTATACGATTGTTGGTGTTATAATACTCTAACAACTATCCTTTAGTCAGCCATCTGACTAAGAGCATTATAGGAGGGTAGTTTAAAATATATATTGGTTATGGCTATTGGAGCGGGTACCACTTTCCATACATTTGTGCCCATCATCCTTTGGAAGAAGATTTGCGTAATTTGTTTGTCAGTATACACCTAAGTGTTAATGTTATAATGTCACAAGCATAGGGATCTAGAGAGATGCCAACTAATACGCGGAATCCGAAACGCAGTGTCGCATTAGAAATTCACACACACAAAGTAATCAAAATAAAAACAATACGTCGCGAAAAGTGTGGTGTCATCATGCATTCGTTCGCATACCAAATTACAAGTAATGTACGTACAGCACCACTACAAACGCGGTGACGTGCGATTGAATGCATTCTGTTATAGTTCCAAAATACTGAACTGTCCTATGCATGACATTGACAGTGGGGCGCCACCGTCAATACCGGATCGCTGGTTCCGATTTTTGCCATGTCGGAAACCATATAGTTGAACGATGGTAGCGCCCCCCTGTCATTGAGTTTGGTGGGACAGTTCAGCTTGGGTCATCTATAGTTTGAATTGAATGTGCTCATTATCCACAATAATCTTAGCACTACGCAAGCAACGTAAACTGTTTACACAAATGACGTCGCTGTTGTCATCATTGCTGACGCAAGCAATGTGTTCTGTTTTTGGGCATATTGCTGCGACACTGGCCCCGCCCCCTTTTCACATCTCCCTTTAGTTTCTGTGATTTGTGGTCACAAGTTTTGCTAATCGATCATAAGTGGAAGATTTTTTTAAATCCACAACGAGGAAGTTCTTGGTGTTTAATACTGAAAAAGAAAAGAAAATTGTCAATGTCATCAACAGTGTCACCGGAAAATTGTTTTTTGTGAAACTAAAGCAAAATAAAGGATATTTTACCTCGTAAAATACATTGTTGGACTTTATTCACTTGGCCCGTATCTCACCTGATGGTAAGTGATCAGTGAGTGATCAGGCCGAAGGTGGAAGCGAGCTTCACCCGGAATCCTCCACCACGGAGGAACTGGCTATCTTACCTCTAACTGCCGGAACACAACAATGCTTTTAACATGTGTTGTTATGGTCTGCCAAATATTGTTCCTGAATAAAGTGTACACAATTTGATTGCATAATACGTTCACCATATAAACTGACAAGGTAGCGTCTATCAAAAACCTCTTCAATGAGCTCACATCCCCAATCTACATATTTCTTTCTCCAGAGCGCAGTAGCAGCGGACACGCACGGCGACGGTCTGCGCGCGCGCTACCAGCAGGAAATCGAACAACTGCGCGCGCTGTGTGAGAAAGGACTATTGGCCATGGAGAGCTCGCACCGCCGCATCGTGCGCGAGATGGAGGACAAGCACCGCGCCGAGAGGGAGCAGCTCAGGTCTGACACAAACTATTTCATCTGAGTCATTTTAAGGCCTTGCTAATAGAGAGATTGACACACGCGTTGAACAATTACCCCCTTACTAATAAAACTTACACGCTCGTTGAACAGTTTTAAAGTGACGTTTAGTATGGAAATGTCATTTTAAAACATTGTTCAACAAATGTGTAACTTTTTATTATAATAATTAGTAAAGGGGTTAGTAATTGAGTCCCAGACGGCATTCATTAAAATCATAACAATTGATTATCTATTGGGTCTAGATTCGCGGGCCTTGAAGGATTAAAAGGACATTTTGAAATTAAATATATTAAACTAACGTGTAACTCCACTGCAGGCACACAACTCTTAAATTTACCAGAGGCGATTGAGAATGGTCCTTCCCTATTCTGCCTGAACCACACGGCATGTATTGCTGGTCACTTTTGCATACGAACATCTCGCTTGGTGTTAAACAGCAGCGCCATCTACCGAGTCTATCGATAATAATCTATATCGATGGCTTGTTTAACATAGTGCTTGCAAGTAGTAAAATAAAAAGTTTAAACAGATGCCGATATCCTAAGGCTATAAAAACTGTTGGCATCAAAAAATATTGTTCTCTTTCCGCACTGACTCTGGTCACAGTAATAAACCGAGTAAACAAAAAATCAACGACTTTAATTGGGTCTAAAACCTACAAGTCTTGGTTTAAAAAATCTAAATACATAATTAGAGTTAAGAATCAAATTGAGTTAAGCAAAAGATCGCATCAAGATTTACCATAAATGATGGCGGGCGAAGCTAACTCGCGCGTGCTGCACGCACACAAAATCGCTCTAATCATCATCAATTCGTTTTCATAGACTAAATATGTTTTTCATAAACTAAAAAATTAAATCTTAAAATATTTTCTAAATGTTTTAATTCTTATTCCAGGCTGGACAAAGAACAGGCCCTAGCCGAGGAGACGCGCGCAACCCTGGCCGCCTTGGATGCTATGCGCAAAGCACACGAGAGCGAGGTGCGGCGCGAGGTGGACAAGTTTAAAGCAGAGTTCCTATCGCGAGGGAACCACCCAGACATCACGCAGCTCAGCTCGAGGCACCAGTCAGTGTTAGATTTGTTCTCTTGTTGTAGATATAGAAGCAATTGCAGGTTGATACGCGAACTAGTGGGAGGAAAATTGAAAAAGCTAAAAGACTTTCATTAGCTGGCGCCACTGGCGAGTGATAGGAGGACCTTACTGCAATAGTCCCCCTACCGTTATAGCAGAGTAAATACAAATGAGTAGGTCATCTTCATAGAAACGCACCGAGCGCGGTTTACAATTATTGGAGCCACTGTATTAGCCACCACAAGCAAGTGGCAGGACTTCACTCGCTAGTAGCGCCATCTAGCGAGTGATAACTCTATTCGACAGTGGCGCTACTAGTGGTGTACGCGACGCGATAGCAAGGCGCACAAGTTCAAGGCGAATTTCCTGTCGCGAGGGAACCACCCAGACATCACGCAGCTCAGCTCGAGGCACCAGTCAGTGTTAGATTTGTTCTCTTGTTGTAGATATAGAAGCAATTGCAGGTTGATGCGCGAACTAGCGGGAGGAAAATTGAAGGTATAAGCTAAAAGACTTTCATTAGCTGGCGCCACTGGCGAGTGATAGGAACTTACTGCAAAGTCCTCCTACCGTTATAGCGTTTACCAATTAGAGCCGAGGCACCAGTCAGTGTTAGATTTGTTGTCTTGTTGGAGATATTAGTTGGGGCTGACGCGCGGACGGACGTAAAGTTGAGGACACTTCAATAAGTTAAAATCGGTTTTCGATAGTTCTACCACTTCAGTGCTCACCAGTTGACGTCACTGTGTTAGTCACAAGCAAACCTGGCGCGGTGGAACCACCTTGAGATATCAGCTCGGTACCAGTCAGTGTTAGATTTATTGTCTTGTTGTAGCATTAGCACGGGACTATTCCCACCAACTGTGTAGCCAAGATCTACAGCTTGATCGCCATTAAATAAAATCCAAGGGGCGAACTGAAGTTACTGGTTGTGTAATTTAACGAATTAGCAGCGATTGAGGGTACCCCTCTTAAGTTGAATAAGGGTTTCCTTAAATACGCTCACCATAAGACGCCACTGGCGACTGATAGTACTGATATTGCAAATGAGCTTCATTGCTCATCCAGTTGGCGCCACAATCTTAGCCATACGCTAGTGACAGGAGTTCGCCAGTGGTGCCACCTGGTGAGCGCAATCACAGAAACCCTCATTGAGTCCAAAAAGTGTATTTTTTTTAAATCTTCAGATCTAAATAATAGTACTCAAAAAAATAATCTAAACTATCTTCAAACCTGACTAACCCCATCTCACCCCACAGGCAGGAGATGGAAGAAATCAAGCAAGAGATCCTGTCGCTGTCGGACAAGTACTCGGTGAAGTGCGTGGAGTCGGCCGCGCTGGAGGAGCGCCTCGCCGCCGCCACCGCGCAGCTGGCGCACGCGCACAACCACATCATGCAGCTCGACTCCAGGTGAGACTCAATAGAGGACCAGGAACTGAACCTTGCGTGACTCCTACATAAACTATGTAATTCAAGACACATTCAATAGAATAGGACCGACTACTGAACCTTGCGTGACCCCTAAATTACTTTGGTAATCGCATAGTTACTCCAGGACATATTCAATGGTAGATCAAGACACATTCAATAGTATACGACCGACTACTGAACCTTGCGTGAACCCTAAATTACTTTGGTAATCGCATAGTTACTCCAGGACATATTCAATGGTAGAGGACGAGAACTAAACCTTTACTTAAGAATCAGAGTATATTTTATTAGGTTCGCTATTTTTCGATACATGGACGATGATTTGGTTACATTATGATGACATTGTCGTAAGCCTTACAGTACCTCGTTAAATTTTGAAAACGCCAATTCTTTTTAATCATTCTGTATTGGCGACTGCGTTCCATATTAGTGATTGAACGAATCTAAAAAGTTAATTTTTGATATTTCCAGAAACAAACAGCTGCGCGCTCACCTCATTTCCGAGGCCAACGAAATGAAGAACGGTACGGAAGCGTCCACTCTCTCGCAGCTCATCGAAGACACTGCGCCGGTATGTACCGTTTTCTCTTACTACCTGCACTCCACTGAGTTCACGGCGCACGCTTCGGGCTAGCTATACCGCTTTTTCATCTCACATTCGAGCTAGAATGCCCACGCTTGCATGACGTCATCGCACGTAACTCACTGATTGGTTAAAGTTTCTTGATGGTCAACGTCACCAACTTCGTAACTATTTTTTCTTTTTATTTTAAAAGTTGGTCATGTTAACTAAAGAAATATTTAGTACAAGGTACGAACAGATTTTGGTAAAACTTACTGAAGTTCTCTTATAGTTATGAATTGAAATCTAATTTTAGAAAACTTCTAAGTGTAAATACTATTGGAAATCTTTTGAAATTCGGTCTATTCATTATTATGGCAATCGCACGAATTGAGACACGTGGATGGTAATTCTATTTTTTCTCTAATGATTGAAACAAATCACGATCAGTAGATGGTATATCGGTTAATGCAGTGGTTCCCAACCAATAGTGGACCGCAGTAGTCAAAATAGTGCACATATGCAACATATTATTATGTGCGGTAACCCGTACAAGAACGATTTGGATTTTGTAAAGAAGATGTTTGCTCAAAAATCGTATTAGACGAATAAAAATAATTCTATTCTATTCTATTCAAAAATCGTATTGATCTTCAAAGTTAAAAGTTACATTCAGTGTTTGATATTTGTTTTGGGAGTCATTTGCTTTATTTTTGCGCGGCGGTCCCTCGTCCATAAAGGTTGGGAACCACTGAGCTAAACACACTCGTCTTCTAATTCCTGCGAGCGCAGTAGTTGTAAAGTCCACTGTAATGCAACGGTCATGGTACATTCGGGTGCACTAACAGCATGGGAGGGCGGAGGCGCCGCTGTGGGCTCACCTGCGGACGCTGGCAGCGGCCTGGCAGCGCGCCAACAACTATACAGGTAAAATACACCTGCTGTGAGTTTACTTACCACAGTATTAGAGAACGAATCTCATATTAAGCATTGCGTATACGGAGATAAGTTTAAATCGATACTGACGTTGCCAATTTAATACGGATTGGGATCGCACGTAATGCAAAACCGGCTTTAGTCACACTATCAACTCGAGCTCGATACGCGGCCTAATCCCTGGTGACATATTTAAATATTTTGGGGGACTAATGTTTCCCCGTTAACCCGTTTTCACCAACAATCCCTAATTTTTAAGTAATTCCTATGGTAACACAACAGAAATTTTGTTTTCAAAGGGGTTTCTTAAATAATAGGGATTGATGGTGAAATGGGCATAAGTAGCATAATGGCTTTTTAGGTATTTTTTATGACCGAAGGCTGGTAATACGAAAGTAAGGTTATCGAAAGTAAACTCATAGTAGGTTTTATTTAGTTTTAATTAATACATAGGTTATAGAAATATAGGCCAGTGTTGTTTCGCGATTTCCCCATTGCATTCATCCATTACATTTGGGAATGGAGTGTTTAATATAAACAATTTAGCTTTGCAGTCATTAAAGTTTCCTCATCTGTGTCAGTTTCGAGTGTCGAGTGTGCACGATAAACTAATGTACAATATTTTACTTTAACTTATTATTGGTAATCATTTCACTTATATTTCCCAACACTTTGAAGTGTATGTCTATAAAATTTGTAATCGGCTGTTTAATCGGTTTATGGATAACTCAACACACTATTAGAAATAGCACAATTACCTACTAACGAAGGGCTTACTTTACAAGAAAGTAACGGGTTTTAAAATCAGCCGCCGCCCCCACCATCTTCTCTTCCTTTAGACAAAACTACAATAGATAAAATGTACCCTGAATGTAAAGGTTGACGCATACTAATCTAGCCTAAACTAGAGCTGTTAAGGTTTGGTCAAACCAACGCGTGCAGCCTGCGTGCGATGGCGATCAGATGTCGTGTATGAATTTGCAGCGATGAGTTCACATCAACGCGTCATTAGTCGCGGCGATCTATGCACGCATAATGACGTATGCTTTATGCCAGGGGTGGCCAACCGGTCGATCGCGAATATTAGTCCAGTCGATCGTGGCAAGGCAAAAATACTATACATGATTGTGTATTAAACTATGCTGTTCCATTAAAATTTCAAGAAGTATGTAAGTGTTAGATCGCCCAGGGTTTCGTTAGTAAACAGTAGATCTTATGTCTATCAAGTTGGCCACCCCTGCTCTATGCAGTGATCGCCATCGCCATCGCCGACGCAAGCTGCATGCGTCGTTTGGTTTGTTTTAGCAATACCGAGTTGATTACATGCGTCAACTTGTACTTATTATAAATAAAAACCAAGCCCTGTATACATGTATAATTATACCATTATCTAACCTGTAACCTGCTAATCCAGGGGAAATCGTCAAGGGCGAGCCCTCTGCTGGAGGCAGCGAGACCGACGCGCCCGGCCAAGATCCAGTTCGCGAAGACAGAGAGCACCAGAAACCTGCAGCTGTCGCCCGTCCAGGTGAGGATTGAACCTTATAACGAGGGCATTAGAGTGCTAAATTGTATAACGTCGTGTTTGGAAAAGTTTGTAAGCAATTTTTACGTTCGACGTTCTAAACTTCTTGAAGATTACAAATACTGAAACAAAAATATTTGTTTCAATGATGAGCAGATTCATTGACATTTATGGAGGTTTTAAATTCATTTTAGGAAGATTTTATATGTATAGTTCCAAAATAATGGACTGTCCTGTCGATGACATTGACAGTGGGGCGCCACCGTCAATACCGGATCGCTGGTTCAGATTTTTGCCATGTTGGAAACCATATAGTTGAACGATGGTAGCGCCCCCCTGTCATTGAGTTTGGCGGGACAGTTCAGCGTGGGTCATCTATATCTTCATATGTAAATTTGATGTGTAAAAGGTCTGCCTAATTTGGGTAATTCCTTAAGGTAAAGAAAAAATAACAAACGGCATTTGCTACAAACGAGTTTGCAAAAAATTAAGGTGTTGAAAAAATATTAATAAGTCAATTAATTTTTGTATGGTACCTAATACCAATAAAGAGTACCTACCTTATATTTCTGCAATACTGATTTTTTCTAAATATCGATGTCTTTTGCAGAACTAAAAGCGACACAACGCTGCTCGGCGAGCAGCCGCGTGCCGCTGGCGCCACTGGCCGGGGTGGTGGCCGAGCGCAAGAAGCGCTTCGAGCTGTAGCCGCAGCGCGCCGCAGCGGGCCGCAGCGNGTAGTTAATTTTTTTTTATTATATTTCTAATAAAATACAAATATTTTTTCAAAAATATTCTGCATAATAATATGTAGTATGCTTAATATGGATAACCTTGAAGTGTCATACGGATCATCTTACGTGAAAAAGACTATAATCCTTCTTCTCCCCCAGGCTGCAGGCGGAGCGCGCGCGCGGCGAGTGCGCGCTGGCCCAGCAGGCGGGCGCGCTGGCGGCAGCTCGGCGCGCGCGGGCGCAGCTGCAGGCGCAGCACGAGCGCGAGCGGGCGGCGCTGCGGGAGCGCGCGCGCACGTTACAGCGCCGGCTGGCCGCGCTCGACTCCGAGTACTCGGCGCAGCTTGAGAATCTGCGCGCCGCTTACCAGGTCAGTGTGGACTTGAGTGTTAATCGAATAATGTTATTTATAACCTACACAATAATGTTATTTGTAACTTATTGTACTCGTATCATTTACAACCCGATCGAGGTAACTGCACCCTCGCTGGAATGCGACTCTGCCTCGCACTCGCACTGTACCAGAGCGTCTATGTGACGTCACGGCTGCCAGCTTCGCAGTTAACTCGATCGGATTGTAAATCACACGAGTACAATAAGTTAATTATTTTTCTTGACTTGGCAAAACTTGTGTCATTGTAATGGTGCGTCCAGACTGGGCGAATTTACTCGCGCGGCAAATTCAACATCCTGCTCACTCAAGAGCAGAGTGAGCAGGATGACCAGCGTGCCGCGCGAGCAAATTCGCCCAGTATGAACGCACCATTACAATGACACGAGTTTTGCCAAGTCAAGAAAAATAAAGTCATCTTTCGTTACGATCATAATTAGAAGATGGTCTTCCAAATGTTGTTAATAAGCACAATGTACAGTGAGCCACAGTTCCAGCTACCCATTTCCGTTTTTTCTCTCGCTCTCATCAAACGGCGATTCTTTGCGATAGAACGAGACATAGTCGGAAATGGGTACACAATGTCTGATTGCATATAACTTCACCATGTAAAGTGACAAGGTAGCGTCTATCAAAAACCTCTTCAATGACCTCACATCCCAATTAATCTTCCCCAGAGCGCAGTAGCTGCGGACACGCACGGCGACGGTCTGCGCGCGCGCTACCAGCAGGAAATCGAGCAACTGCGCGCGCTGTGTGAAAAAGGACTATTGGCCATGGAGAGCTCGCACCGCCGCATCGTGCGCGAGATGGAGGACAAGCACCGCGCCGAGAGGGAGCAGCTCAGGTTTGACACAAACTATTTCATCTGAGTCATTTTAAGGCCTTGCTAATAGAGAGATTGACACACGCGTTGAACAATTACCCCCTTACTAATAAAACTTACACGCTCGTTGAACAGTTTTAAAGTGACGTTTAGTATGGAAATGTCATTTTAAAACATTGTTCAACAAATGTGTAACTTTTTATTAATTAGTAAGGGGGTTAGTAATTGAGTCCCAGACGGCATTCATTAAAATCATAACAATTGATTATCTATTGTGTCTAGATTCGCGGGCCTTGAAGGATTAAAAGGACATTTTGAAATTAAATATATTAAACTAACGTGTAACTCCACTGCAGGCACACAACTCTTAAATTTACCAGAGGCGATTGAGAATGGTCCTTCCCTATTCTGCCTGAACCACACGGCATGTATTGCTGGTCACTTTTGCATACGAACATCTCGCTTGGTGTTAAACAGCAGCGCCATCTACCGAATCTATCGATAATAATCTATATCGATGGCTTGTTTAACATAGTGCTTGCAAGTAGTAAAATAAAAAGTTTAAACAGATGCCGATATCCTAAGGCTATAAAAACTGTTGGCATCAAAAAATATTGTTCTCTTTCCGCACTGACTCTGGTCACAGTATAAACCAAGTAACCAAGAAATCGACGATCTTGGTTTAAAAGATCGCGTCAAGATTTACCATAAATGATGGCGGGCGAAGCTATCCCGCGCGTGCTGCACGCACGAAAAATCGTTCTAGACATCGATTCATTTCGCGACAGGAAGCAAGCCAGTATATTTTAACCAGTAAAAAGTTGTTCCAGGCGTCTGTTGATTAAAAGTTCAAAAAATCTGTTTTTCATAAACAAAAAAAGTAAATCATAAAATATTTTTTAATTTTCTTTTTTCCTATTCCAGGCTGGACAAAGAGCAGGCCCTAGCCGAGGAGACGCGCGCAACCCTGGCCGCTTTGGACGCTATGCGCAAAGCACACGAGAGCGAGGTGCGCCGCGAGGTTGACAAGTTTAAAGCAGAGTTCCTGTCGCGAGGGAACCACCCAGACATCACGCAGCTCAGCTCGAGGCACCAGTCAGTGTTAGATTTGTTCTCTTGTTGTAGATATAGAAGCAATTGCAGGTTGATACGCGAACTACCTAGCGGGAGGAAAATTGAAGGTATAAGCTAAAAGACTTTCCTTAGCTGGCGCCACTGGCGAGTGATAGGAGGACCTTACTGCAATAGTCCCCCTACCGTTATAGCAGAGTAAATACAAATGAGTAGGTCATCTTCATAGAAACGCACCGAGCGCGGTTTACAATTGGAGCCACTGTCTTAGCCACCACAAGCAAGTGGCAGGACTTCACTCCCTAGTAGCGCCATCTAGCGAGTGATAACTCTATTCGACAGTGGCGCTACTAGTGGTGTACGCGACGCGATAGCAAGGCGCACAAGTTCAAGGCGAATTTCCTGTCGCGAGGGAACCACCCAGACATCACGCAGCTCAGCTCGAGGCACCAGTCAGTGTTAGATTTGTTCTCTTGTTGTAGATATAGAAGCAATTGCAGGTTGATGCGCGAACTAGTGGGAGGAAAATTGAAGGTTATACCTTCAAAAACCGGGATAAAAACTATCCTATGTCCTTTCCCGGGACTCAAACTATCTCTATGCCAAATTTCATCAAAATCGGTTCAGTGGTTTAGGCGTGAAAGCGAGACAGATAGACAGACCGACAGACAGACAGAGTTACTTTCACATTTATAATATTAGTAAGTATAGATATTAGTTGGGGCTGACGCGCGAAATGACGGACGTAAAATTGAGGGCACCGCAAAAATTTAAATGAGCGTTTCCAATAGTTTTACCACCCAATAGTTCTACCACTTCAGTGCTCACCAGTTGACGTCACTGTCTTAGTCAGAAGCAAACCTGACGCGGTGGAACCACCTTGATATCACGCAGCTCAGCTTGAGGCACCAGTCAGTGTTAGATTTGTTGTCTTGTTGTAGGTAGCATTAGCACGGGACTATTCCCACCAACTGTGTAGCCAAGATCTACAGCTTGATCGCCATTAAATAAAATCCAAGGGGTGAACTGAAGTTACTGGTTGTGTAATTTAACGAATTAGCAGCGATTGAGGGTACCCCTCTTAAGTTGAATAAGGGTTTCCTTAAATACGCTCACCATAAGACGCCACTGGCGACTGATAGTACTGATATTGCAAATGAGCTTCATTGCTCATCCAGTTGGCGCCACAATCTTAGCCATACGCTAGTGACAGGAGTTCGCCAGTGGTGCCACCTGGTGAGCGCAATCACAGAAACCCTCATTGAGTCCAAAAAGTGTATTTTTTTTAAATCTTCAGATCTAAATAATAGTACTCAAAGAATTAATCCAAACTATCTTCAAACCTGACTAACCCCATCTCACCCCACAGGCAGGAGATGGAAGAAATCAAGCAAGAGATCCTGTCGCTGTCGGACAAGTACTCGGTGAAGTGCGTGGAGTCGGCCGCGCTGGAGGAGCGCCTCGCCGCCGCCACCGCGCAGCTGGCGCACGCGCACAACCACATCATGCAGCTCGACTCCAGGTGAGATTCAATAGAGGACCAGGAACTGAACCTTGAGTGACTCCTACATAAACTATGTAATTCAAGACATAATAAATAGTATAGGAACGACTACTGAACCTTGCGTGACCCCTAAATTTCGTTGGTAATCGCATAGTTACTCCAGGACACATTCAATGGTAGATCAAGACACATTCAATAGTATACGACCGACTACTGAACCTTGCGTGAACCCTAAATTACTTTGGTAATCGCATAGTTACTCCAGGACATATTCAATGGTAGAGGACGAGAACTAAACCTTTACTTCAGAATCAGACTATATTTTATTAGGTTCGCTATTTTTCGATAAACATGGACGATGATTTGGTACATTATGATGACATTGTCGTAAGCCTTACAGTACCTCGTTAAATTTTGAAAACGCCTATTCTTTTTCATCACTCTGTATTGGTGATTGCGTGCGACTGCGTTCCATATTAGTGATTGAACGAATCTAAAAAGTTAATTTTTGATATTTCCAGAAACAAACAGCTGCGCGCTCACCTCATTTCCGAGGCCAACGAAATGAAGAACGGTACGGAAGCGTCCACTCTCTCGCAGCTCATCGAAGACACTGCGCCGGTATGTACCGTTTTCTCTTTCTACCCGCACTCCACCGAGTTCACGGCACACGCTTCGGGCTAGCTATACCGCTTTTTCATCTCACATTCGAGCTAGAATGCCCACGCTTGCATGACGTCATCGCACGTAACTCTCACTGATTGGTTAAAGTTTCTTGATGGTCAACGTCACCAACTTCGTAACTGTTTTTTATTTTATTTTATAAGTTGGTCATGTTAACTAAAGAAATATTTAGTCTTGTACGAACAGATTTTGGTAAAACTTACTGAAGTTCTCTTATAGTTATGGATTGAAATCTAATTTTAGAAAACTTCTCAGTGTAAATACAGACTATTGGAAATCTTTTGAAATTCGGTCTATTCATTATGGCAATCGCACGAATTGGGACACGTGGATGGTAATTCTATTTTTCTCTCTAACGATTGAAACAAATCACGATAGTATATTATCGGTTATACAGTGGTTCCCAACCAGTAGCGGACCGCAGTAGTCAAAATAGTTGTCAAAATAGTCGAAAGATTTCGAACTTTGCGAGCGATTCGTGAGCGAACTTGTAAAGAAGATGCTTGCTCAAAAATCGTATTGATTTTGAAAGTAAAAAGTTACATTGAGTATTTAATTAATATTTCTTTTGGGATTCATTTAGTTTACTAAAAATATTATGATACATTATAGAGGCTCTTTAAGAGCAAACTATTTGACGATTTGTAAGTACTAATTAAATAGTCTATACAAATAAAGAAATTTAGACTTTGACTTTATTTTTCTTTAAACAAAGCGGTCCCTCTTCCATAAAGGTTGGGAACCACTGAGTTAAACACACTCGTCTTCTAATTCCTGCGAGCGCAGTAGTTGTAAAGTCCACTGTAATGCAACGGTCATGGTACATTCGGGTGCACTAACAGCATGGGAGGGCGGAGGCGCCGCTGTGGGCTCACCTGCGGACGCTGGCGGCGGCCTGGCAGCGCGCCAACATCTATACAGGTAATTGAACACGCCTGCTGTGAGTTTACTTACCTCTATGGAACGAAGCTCATAACTCGATTAAATCTTAATGCTTCCAACTGGCATTTTTTCGATTGAAAATATGACCGAGATTGAATACTTTTAATGCTGGGTTGCACCATCTTACTTTAAATATAACAAACGTCAAAATTCTGTCAAACTATAGAATTTGTTTAACACCGGTTAGATACGGTTCAAATTAAAGTAGTGCAACTGAGGTGAGGTTATGTCCGTTGTAATTTACACTTTTAAAACAGTCAGTCAGTCGCCAGGTGGCGCTATATCTCCGTGACAAATACCTACACTAGCTAGACTACTTTTTATTAGGTTTTTTATTTAGGCTAAACACTAAAGCTGGGTTATCAAAATGTAAACTCACAGTAGGTTTTATTATTAGTTATAATACATAGGCCATAGACTAGTGTTGTTTCGCGATTTCCCCATTGCATATTATTCATCCATTACATTTATAGGAATGGAGTGTTTATTTTAAACCAATTTAGCTTTGCTGTCATTAAAGTTTCCTCATTTGTGTGAGTTTGAGTGTGCACGATAACAGTTTGAACTAATGTAACATAATTTGGACTAATAATAATATTACACGGTAGACAACTTATTATCGCTTATTTATCCCCAACACTACGAAATGTAAATCTATAAAAAAATTATTCAGCTTTTTACAATAGGTCTAAATATTACTCAACACACTACTAGAAATAGCACAATTACCTACTAACAAAACGCTTACTTTACAAGAAAGTAGCGTGTTTTAAAATCAGCCTCCGCCCCCACCACCTTCTCTTCCTTTAGGCAAAACTACAATAGTTTATGTATGTACCCTGAATGTAAAGGTCGACGCATACTAATCAAGCCTAAACCGGAGCTGTTAAGGTTCGGCCAAACCAACGCGTGCAGCCTGCGTGCGCTATGGCGATGGCGATCAGACATCGTGTATGAATTTGTAGCGATGAGTTCACATCAACGCGTCCTGTCATTGGTCGCGGCGATCTATGCACGCATAATGACGTATGCTCTATGCCAGGGGTGGCCAACCGGTCGATCGCGAATATTAGTCCAGTCGATCATGGCAAGGCAAAAAATACTATACATGATTGTGTACTAAATTATGCTATTCCATTTGAGATTTCAAGAAGTATGTAAGTGTTAGATCGCCCAGTTTCGTTAGTAAACAGTAGACCTTATGTCTAATCAAGTTGGCCACCCCTGCTCTATGCAGTGATCGCCATCGCTGACGCGAGCTGCATGCGTCGTTTGGTTTGGTTTACCAATACCGAGTTGATTACATGCGTCAACTTGTAAAGCCTGGTCCGTGAGCACGTGGAATTTTGTCCATTGCCCCAAGCTACCCATCCTTATCGCTCGCGCGTAATTATGTTGCTGTCGCGACTGAGCGACGGGCGCCCGCAGTGAGTGTGCGAGCGCTACAGCAACATAACTACGCGCGAGCGATAAGGATGGGTAGCTTGGGGTCATTGGACGAAATTCTACGTGCTCACAGACCAGGCTTTACTTATTGTTCAACCAATGAAAATCAATCCCTGTATAGGTACGTACATGTATAATTATACCATTATCTAACCTGTAACCTGCTGATCCAGGGGAAATCGTCAAGGGCGAGTCCTCTGCTGGAGGCAGCGAGACCGACGCGCCCGGCCAAGATCCAGTTCGCGAAGACAGAGAGCACCAGAAATCTGCAGCTGTCGCCCGTCCAGGTGAGGATTGAACCTTATAGCGAAGGCATTAGAGTGCATGTTTTTTGAAAAAGCTTTTAAGCAATTTCTACTCCTTAAGATAAACTTCGTGAAGATTACAAATACTGAAACAAATATTTGTATGATAAGCAAATACATTGACATTTATGTGGGTATTCAAGTTCATTTTAAGAAGGTTTTTTACACGCATCTTCATATTATGTAAATTTTATGTGTAAAGTATTTGATTCTAACGAGTTTGCAAACAATTAAGGTGTTGAAAAAATATTCATGTCAATTAATTTTTGTATGGTGCCTAATTACCAATAAATAGTACATACCTTCTATTTTTTCTTAATTTTTTCTTAAATATCAACGTCTTTTCCAGAACTAAAAGCGACACAACGCTGCTCGGCGAGCAGCCGCGTGCCGCTGGCGCCACTGGCCGGGGTGGTGGCCGAGCGCAAGAAGCGCTTCGAGCTGTAGCCGCAGCGCGCCGCAGCGGGCCGCAGCAGTCCGCAGCGGGCCGCAGCAGTCCGCAGCGGGCCGCAGCAGCCCGCAGCGACGCAATCGCGAACTTATTGCCAAAGGTTAAGGAGTTTCACATGTATTATGTTACGGAATGTATTGTCACGTCTCACCCACCATGCGAGCACCTGGCCACTTTGCTTAACGTCCCACATATAACGTCGATTACGTAAAAACATTATCTAGCTTAGCGAAGCCCAAAAGTATTGCCGTCTTTTACATTTGTTAAGAATATGAAAAGCATAGCATGTCTTTTATTATTAGATTAAGTTCAGGTAATGATTTTACACAGTCGTAATTGTTTGATTTTAATAAATTTATGTAATTTTATGTGGTAGTTGATATATTATTTGCACGTTGCGACAGATATATAGTCAAAATATCACGATGAAATGTATTACAGTAATAGTTTTAGCAAGCAGATGTGGAATTAGCAACTTGTTCCTATTGAGATAGTATGACGATTACTGATTTCACAGCTGCGCGACTTATTTTAAGTTTGTAGCCAGGGATCGTTCATTTATTAATGATATTTTATTTAATATCGCAATTGTTTTTAAAACCATGTATTGTCCCAGTAACAACAACCTATTTATTGTTCGTTAATTACAGAAATTGTACTATATTAACACAAGCTAATACTGCTTAGGTCGTAGTATCGAAGTCACAAAGTATTTAGACGCGAAGGTGACCACTCGTAACGATCGGTAACTTATCACAAATATTTAATCGATTTATTGCCCCGTCGTATAAATTCGCTTAGTTTTAAGCATCGATAACCTAAATATATTAAAGTACTGACGCCCATATTTATATGCTTAGCCTAGTTCGTAAGGTATGGAATAAGACCAAAAACAGTTCTCCCTATACTAAGTGGCCAGCATGTTTTCCCACCCACCACACGAGTTGTATATAACATTAAAGTTTATGTGTTGTTTTCTTTACGTAATTTTAATTAACTTTAGTTTGTACATTGTTTCTTTCTATTTAAATGTCTTTCCTTCTGTTATTTAAGTTCTTTCGCTAATTTCTTAAGTTAGTTTTTAGATGATTGGGTTAGTGATGTTTCAAACTTGTAAAAATTGTAACATTGTGTACATACTAACGGTTCTGTCGCCCGACCGCTGTCCTGTGGACCGTCCGTTTATCTATAAGGAATCGTTACCAAATATTTTCATATTTATGACATTTGTGCTCTATTGGATGTTTGGGCATGACGCAGTGCTTTGACGCTTTTCATTAAAATTAAATATGAAAGATGTATTTATAAAAATACATATTGTGTAGTATTTGCAGTGATATTCAAATTTTTTGTTTGTTCGATGTGACTGGCTATTATTGTTCAATATTAGCTAGAGGTCACTGACGTAATTCGGCGTGACTGCAATGTAGAAAAATGTCAAAGTACTGCGGCGTCTCGCGTTAATTTTTTTGTGTAGATTTTATACATAGTCTTTATTCGTGGACATGCATGATAATATTTCGTCGTATAACATTGAAGAGTTTCTATATCCGTGCGTTTAACATGATGTCGCCTTTGTGACGTGTTTTCTGGGTTTTATTGTTTTCCAAAAACGTTAGATAGGTATATATTTTAACAGAGTATTATTCTTTATCAGAGGCTAATGTACGGACTGCGTATGTCTGCTAAACACGATGTTTAACGCATATTATATTATAGAGGCATATATCGTTTGAACATGTTATTTAGAGTTTTTAAATTATGATTCGTGTTTATCACCGGTACCTATTCCTTGTGTCATCGTGTTATCTCGTTACCATATTTCTAGCTGGGCATTCGACTCTGTCTTCCACAAGTTTTGTATTAACTCACTTTGTTGTGTATAGAGTGTCACTCGCGTCGCGCCGTGAGCTAGGGGCATGTATAGTTATGTATCGTATTGCTCAATGTTGTCTAGTTGCGTTTGAACATGTATACCAAAACTGTGGGTCGCATCGCGCGCAGGCGCAGGGTGCCTAGTGGGAGCGAGATGGATATAAAAACGTTACACTTTTGAGAAAAAACTGCTCAGAAAGAGTGTTTCTTTCACTCTCCACCAGATAGCGCCACTCGTTTACTTCAACACGAGAGTCTCAAACTCGCACTAAGCACTCTGTTCACTAGTGTCGGCTCTCCCTTTGTATCAGTTGACGTTAAACTGTTTGTTTATGTAACAAAGATTTTTACAATAAACTACTTAATACAATAGTCTCGTTTTATTTACAAATTAGGTACTAAGCGTAAACATTCTTAAGGCAAGTTGTTGAATACAAAAAGCAATAAGTTTTAAAATAGAAAAACATTAATCTATCGGTGCGTTTGGCCGAAAATAGAATTGTAAGCTTATAAGAAAAATTGCGATCGCTAAGCGGTAAGTGCTATCAATGCTAAAAAATGTATGAAAAACGTCACTATTGAAGTTAGCAAACGTGTCCTCGTCAAAAATAGGCTAAAGTTTTCGGCAGTTGCCAAAGCAATCGCCATTTTGCTTACAAATTCTATTTCCGGCTAAACGCGCCCAATGTAATTAATAAAACTTAATTTATAACAAACTTTTAAAATGAACTTATGATTTTTATTTCACAAAATGTATATGACTATAGAATATTATGTATATTATGATAATAACCTATTTTGTCAGGATTTATTTGAACACAAAAATGGTGATCCTGATTTCCTATCTTATGGATTAAATCGACCGCTACACATGCTACCTAATTCCAAAATCAATCTGATGTGTACTAAACAAAATTAAAGTCCGGTCGCCGAACACATATAATTTCGCCAATGACTCCAGGCTACCCATCCTTATCGCTCGCGCGCATGTAATTATATTGATGTCGCGCTCGCACACTCACTGCGGCCGCCCGTCGCACCACAGTCAACTAATATGTAAAAAGTCGAGAGTCGCGTGTATAGCGGTTACTTGAGTAATAAAATTCATTCCAGCAAATGATGTCCAAATATAAGTAATCTCCAACCGTATCTCGCAAATTATGAATAATATTTACACCAGCTCAGTTTGATCGAGTTCATTTATATCACAGAATATGTCATCGCGGTAACATTTCGAAGAGTCTCTTGAATAATTCAAGTTTGAATTAGTCTCCAAGCAATTTCTTAGAAATCCATTTAAAATAATATAGAATTTCTATGCCGTGCTCGCGTCATTTCTCACTCACGTTCTGATTCTTTACTATTAATTCCTTTTTAAGAACTGTCAATAAAACTGTTAATATAATACATAATATTTAGAAATGTTATTTAAAGGAAAAAGGCACTACCATTTAGAGAACCAAACAAAACATATTATTATGGTGGTATTTATGTCTGGTTATGGTTGTGCTACAGTACTTAGATGGTCTGTCAAGGTCACTATGAATAAACTAAGAATAACGATTATTTATTGCTCTTTCGACTATATCTATTTCATGAATAGATCATCTCAATATATCAGAATCGTATGATACTGTCAGGAAGGCAATTCTCGTGATGCAGCAACATGTTGGGATTTCGTGTAAAACCTTCAGAATTTAATAAAAGGAACACTGATGTCACTTAATTATTATTGCAGTGTCATCCGTACTCACTTAAAGATCTTTTAAATACTCGAAATATTCAAAACTAATCGATGACTATCTCCAGGACAAGTTCACTTGATTTTCAATAAGAGGAGAAGGGTACCAATATTCTATTCCTATTTAAAAATACATTATCGATTGCTTCGAGAATCTTTCGAGAATCGCCTCCCTAGCCCTAGTCAAGTCAACAAAAAGTTTCTACCTTACTCTACAGCTGTATTAGAGGCTTGTCGGACTCAGTTTTGGTCTTCATTATCTTGGCTCGCCACTCGTTCCGGTCGGCCAGTATGCGGCGGCCGTACGACGTGTGGATGTCGCGGAACGGCACTTTCTTACGGGGCACATCTGGCCGAAGGTTCTCTTTGTCTGAAATAAAAATATATCTAGTGAGATATTATCTCCAGAAAGACGAACAAATGCTGTGCCTGCTGTGCTGAGATCAAGGATTCATCTAACTATGGACGACAGCTGTAGAGCATGTGGAGAACATGCAGATGAGAAATAAAAAAAGAGACCAAGGAAACCGAGAGCCTGTCTACTCTTGAAAAAGAAAATTAAACAGTAACCTGTGTGTGACTTTGTATATTGTTAAGCTCATTTTATAATAAAGTTTTGTTACAAAAACAGAATAAACAAAAAAAGCAATAAAAAAACTATAAATACGGCAGCTAATTTTATTTTGTATCTGAATATACAGACAAGTTTTTAGCAACATTTACATAAGGATGATTAAACTCCATATACATAGGACGTGTCCTTGGGCGGATTGTGACTAATTCGATTTAGGTAATTTTACGTCTTTGGTAGCTTATGACGTCTAACCACGTATATAAAAAAACGGCATAAACTATTGTAAATGAGAAAAATTGTGACGAGACGATGGATGACTGGTACTACACCGCAAAAACTTATACATGAATTTCGTTACAGGTGCTTCGATAATGTAGGTATTTCTTATGAGAGATGAATAAAGGCTTGGGAAAATATGAAGCTCTAATAAATCAGCACCAATACTTTATTACAGTTTTACCTCATTTCACATTGTGTAAAAAATATATTGAATCAATCAATCAATCAAAAAAGTATGTTAGTTTTTTCCAGAACCACGTCATACTAAGTATAGTTGAACGATGCTAAAACGTCAAGTACCTAACAAAAATCAGAATCAGAAAAATAACTTAGTATTGTCCAGTAGCATCCTCCTGTAAATGTCATAGCTGGGACGGTTCAGTGTCGGACAACTATACTATAAGAGAAGTTTAGACAATACCATCCTAACCTTTGAGATCCAAATAAATAATTTGCTACTCACGATGTCGGCTGCCCGGCACGGCCTTGCCCTCGGTCTCCAGGCCTCTATTGAAGGGGTTGTAGCGCTGCCCTCTAGGAGGCGCTTTAGGTTCCTCCTCCGGCGGCGTGATGGTCACCAGAGCGGCCGCTTCTGCCGCTGCTTCCGCTGTACCAATAGTAAAATGAATAAGACGTATAGCTCTGTTTATACACAGAATGCAATGGAAAAGGCAAATAATAATATTATGTTCTATTCTAATATGTAAAACTCATTTTTTTTATTACATGTAAAAATAAATATAATGTGTGTGGGACTCTCATATATTCTTTGTTTTCTCATAATAATCTAAAAAAGTTTCAGTATCTTCAATATTTATCCACCTTCTATGGGTGTGTTGTCCTTGTCAATGTCCCAAGAAATCAAGGTCTATTTAAACTAAAGATAAGCCCTTGTTGGGTGTACACTAACTTTAAAATTCTTATCAAACCAACTATTTATTTAATAGCCGAGAGTAATTAGACAGTTGGTAATTAGGTACATAAGAATACATGAACATTATAATAATAACATCTCTTTGAAATTATGTACACTTGGATTTTTTACATAACTTGTTATTGCCAGCCTATTAGGAAATAACATTATTAATTACCTTGAGCCTCATCCAGCTGTCGCTGTAACTCAGCCACCATCAGCTTCATGTAGTCATAGCTGGCGCAGGCCAGCGCCTTCATCCACGTCTCCATGGAGGCCTGCGAGTTAGTGCACAGGTAGTAGGTCCGACCACCCTCACACTGGAACACTATTTTGAAGCTGTACGCCTCTTCTTCTGTTAATTCTGAAATGTTTAAAAATTAATCAGTATTTTTTAAACTTAGATGATAATCTCTCTATCCTTCATTACAACAAAGTAATTTGACCGGTAAAGATTATAATAAAATTGAAATTACCATAATTTAGATGGTGCCACCTACACATTTAATAGTAGCAGGCCTCCGTCACTCGCCTATGCCGGCCGAGATAATTACCTACAGCGCGCGACAACTTCAAGTTGCAAATCAGTCCGGGCCGCCACGCGCCTGTTTGCACACGCGTAGAGATGTGCCGCTGAGAAAGTTCTCGTTCCCGGCAATATTCCCAGTGAGAATATTCNGAGGTCACTGACGTAATTCGGCGTGACTGCAATGTAGAAAAATGTCAAAGTACTGCGGCGTCTCGCGTTAATTTTTTTGTGTAGATTTTATACATAGTCTTTATTCGTGGACATGCATGATAATATTTCGTCGTATAACATTGAAGTGTTTCTATATCCGTGCGTTTAACATGATGTCGCCTGACGTGTTTTCTGGGTTTTATTGTTTTCCAAAAACGTTAGATAGGTATATATTTTAACAGAGTATTATTCTTTATCAGAGGCTAATGTACGGACTGCGTATGTCTGCTAAAAACGATGTTTAACGCATATTATATTATAGAGGCATATATCGTTTGAACATGTTATTTAGAGTTTTTAAATTATGATCGTGTTTATCACCGGTACCTATTCCTTGTGTCATCGTGTTATCTCGTTACCATATTTCTAGCTGGGCATTCGACTCTGTCTTCCACAAGTTTTGTATTAACTCACTTTGTTGTGTATAGAGTGTCACTCGCGTCGCGCCGTGAGCTAGGGGCATGTATAGTTATGTATCGTATTGCTCAATGTTGTCTAGTTGCGTTTGAACATGTATACCAAAACTGTGGGTCGCATCGCGCGCAGGCGCAGGGTGCCTAGTGGGAGCGAGATGGATATAAAAACGTTACACTTTTGAGAAAAAACTGTTTAGAAAGAGTGTTTCTTTCACTCACCACCAGATAGCGCCTCTCGTTTACTTCAACACGAGAGTCTCAAACTCGCACTAAGCACTCTGTTCACTAGTGTCGGCTCTCCCTTTGTATCAGTTGACGTTAAACTGTTTGTTTATGTAACAAAGATTTTTACAATAAACTACTTAATACAATATTCTCGTTTTATTTACAAATTACTAAGCGTAAACATTGTTAAGGCAAGTTGTTGAATACAAAAAGCAATAAGTTTTAAAATAGAAAAACGATAATCAATGCGTGCGTTTGGCCGAAAATAGAATTGTAAGCGATTATAAGAAAAATGGCGATCACTAAGCGGTAAGTGCTATCAATGCTAAAAAAATGTATGAAAAACGTCACTATTGAAGTTAGCAAACGTGTCCTCGCCAAAAATAGGCTAAAGTTTTCGGCAGTTGCTATAGTAATCACCACTTTGCTTACAATTTATTACAAATTCTATTTTCGGCCAAACGCGCCCAATGTAATTAATAAAACTTAATTATAACAAACACTTTTAAAATGAACTTATGATTTTTATTTCACAAAATGTATATGACTATAGAATATTATGTATATTATGATAATAACCTATTTTGTCAGGATTTATTTGAACACAAAAATGGTGATCCTGATTTCCTATCTTATGGATTAAATCGACCGCTACACATGCGACCTAATTCCAAAATCAATCTGATATGTACTAAACAAAATAAACTAAAGTTCGGTCGCCGAACACATATAATTTCGCCAATGACTCCAGGCTACCCATCCTTATCGCTCGCGCGCGCGTAATTATATTGCTGTCGCGCTCGCACACTCACTGCGGCCGCCCCGTCGCACAGTCAACTAATATGTAAAAAAAAATCGAGTCGCGTGTATAGCGTTTACTTGAGTAATAAAATTCATTCCAGCAATAATGTCCAAATATGAGTATATCTCCAACCGTATCTCCCACATTATGAATAATATTTACACCTGCTCAGTTAGATCGAGTTCCTTTATATCACAGAATATGTCATCGCGGTAACATTTCGAAGAGTCCCTTGAATAATTCAAGTTTAAATTAGTCTCCTGTTAGAACAAGTCTTTAGAAAGACCAAGCAATTTCTCAGAATTTCACATAATTCTATCCATTTAAAATAATATAGAATTTCGTCATTACGCACTCACGATCTGATTCTTTAAAATTAATTCCTTTAAAAATACTGCCAATAAAACTATTACAAATATGTAGTAAAGTTATTTAAAATAACATATGGCATAGACAACCAAAGAAAAACCATTGCATGGTGGCATTTATGTCTGGTTGTGGTTGTACTGCAGTACTTAGATGGTCTGTCAAGGTGACTATTATAAAACTATGAATAAGGATCTTTTATTGCTCATTCAACTATGTATATTTCCCATAATGGCGCAGTTACACTACGCGGGAAATTGACCAAGACGAAGCGCGAGCACGGCACACCGAAGTATGTGTGACGCACGACGAAACTAACTGAAGTGCTTGTTTGCCATGTCTCGATCAATTTCCCACATAGTGTAACTGCGCCATAACTAAAACTCATTTCATAAAGAGGGAAAGAGACATCTCAGGGAGGCAATTCTCGTGATGCAGCAACATGTTGATATTTCGTGTGAAAAATCTTCGGAATTTAATTAAAAAAACACTGATGTCACTTAATTATTATTGCAGTGTCATCCGTACTAACTTCAACTTAAAGATCTTTTAAATACTCGAAATATTCATTCGATGATTATCTCCAGGTTCACGTGGTCAAGTTCACTTGATTTTCAATAAGAGGAGAAGGGTACCCATATTCTATTTCTATTTAAAAATACATTATCGATTTCTTCGAGAATCTTTTGAGAATCGCCTCCCTAGCCCTAGTCAAGTAAACAAAAAGTTTCTACCTTACTCTACAGCTGTATTAGAGGCTTGTCGGACTCAGTTTTGGTCTTCATTATCTTGGCTCGCCACTCGTTCCGGTCGGCCAGTATGCGGCGGCCGTAGGACGTGTGGATGTCGCGGAACGGCACTTTCTTACGGGGCACATCGGGCCGAAGGTTCTCTTTGTCTGAAATAAAAATATATCTAGTTAGATATTATCCTATCCTACTAATATTATAAAGGCGAATCCTACTAATATTATAAAGGCAAAAGTTTGGATGTCTGGATGTCATGATGTCTGGATGTTTGTTACTCTTTCACGCAAAAACTACTGAACGGATTTTGTTGAAACTTTACAGTATTATTGTTTATAACCCAGATTAACATACAGGCTATAATGTATGACGTAATGTGACAAATTAATTTCAATAAATAAATAAGATGTCTCTAAAAAGCGTCATCTATCGTCATTGGTTGATCTACAGCGCAGGACAAACTACTTTCTTTGACGTTCGTAAATATTCATACGGGGGAAGCAGTGAAACGCCATCTAAGTATCGGGGGTAAAACGAGCTCCACGCGTACGAAGTCGCGGGCGGCCGCTAGTTAGTCTCTAATAATAAAGACGAACAAATGCTGCGCCTGCTGTGCTGAGATCAAGGATGCATCTAACTATGGACGACAGCTGTCGAGCATGTGGAGAACTTGCGGAGTCCATGAAATACCTACTGTGTGAATGCGATGCGCTAGCTAGAACTAGGATGGGTCTCCTGGGATCGGCTTATCCGGCACCAGAAAATTATGGGTCCCTCTCACCCAAGCACTTGATTAAAGGTAAAGGGAAGCACAAAAGATCCCAATGGGGCGACGTGCTGAGCTCATGCGCGGCCCTAAATAAGAAAAGATAGGAGATCAAGGAGACCGAGTGTGTCTGCTCTTGAAAAAAAAAAATAGTAACCTTAACCTGTGTGTGACTTTGTATATTGTTAAGCTCATTTATAAGTGTTTTGTTACAAAAAAGCAACAAAAATAATATAAATACGGCAGCTAATTTTATTTTGTATCTGAATATACAGACAAGGTTTTGGTAACGTTTAAACGAGGACGATTACACGTCTATACCTCTCTATAGAACGCGTCCTTGGGCGGATCGTGACTAATCCCATTTAGGTAATTTTACGTCTTTGGCAGCTTATGACACCTTATGAGCTTATGACGTCTGACGCCCACGTCTATGTAGGTACTACACCGCAAAAACTAATACATTAATTTCGTTACAGGTGCTTCGATATTGTAGGTATTTATTGTGAGAGATGATTAAGTCTTGTGCAAATATCAAACAATATAATAATAATCAGCACCAATACAGTTTCACCCCATATCACATTCTGTAAAAAATATATTGAATCTAAAAGTATGTATAAAGTTTGCTACTATGCCACGCCAAAAGAGCATACCACAGCTACTATTAAAAACGGCCCTCTCTTTGCGACCCAAATAAGTAATTTGCTACTCACGATGTCGGCTGCCCGGCACGGCCTTGCCCTCGGTCTCCAGGCCTCTATTAAAGGGGTTGTAGCGCTGCCCTCTAGGAGGTGCTTTAGGTTCCTCCTCCGGCGGCGTGATGGTCACCAGAGCGGCCGCTTCTGCCGCTGCCTCCGCTGTGTCAAGAATTAAACAAAAAATACTTTAAGAATGGAAAAGGCAAAAAATAACTTCTAGGCTAATGTACACATTATTACTATGCTATCTGTATTGCATGTAATGGTGGCCATACACGTTAGGGTTTGCATGATGGTTACGACCATACATACTTAACCGACAGGTATAACCGAGTTATCTACAACGCATACACGTTAGGGTTTACATGTACAATATAAATTTATTTAACTCAAAAGTGACTGACTGACAGTGATCTATATACGCACAGCCCAAACCTAGCAGTAACATTAAGATTTCTTGCAACAGGGAGAACACATGTGTCTTAAATATTCACCACCATTCACTGCCACAGACTATAGGAGACTGAGAGAAAACTGTGCATGCAAGCATGAGAGGGCGCACACACGCTCCGTTATGCATGTGCGCAAACATAACCGAGCGGCAAAAATATCTTTTTTGATATTCGTTAGGTTGCATGTACACGCACCAATAACTGTACAGTTTTATAACATACACGCTAGGATTTGCATGTCGGTTAAGCATGTACGGTCAAAACCATCATGCAAACCCTAACGTGTATGGCCATCATAAGATGTATATTTTGAAATTAAAAAAATAAAATAAATAAGGATCTCATGATATGTGACAAATTGACAGTCAAATACACATATCAAAAATTTTATCATAAATACAATTTCTTAGTGAGAAGAGTAGCTTCTCAAACTAAATTTTTAATAAACAACTTGAAAAAAAAACCAAACTGTCAAAAATTTAGTAGTATAGTATTCAACAAATAATAAGATTTCCCTTTTTTTCTCATAATTGTAAGGAATTACAAAAAGTTTTAGTATCTTCAATACTTATCCACCTTCTATGGGTGTGTTGTCCTTGTCAATGTCCCAAGAAATCAAGGTCTATTTAAACTAAAGATAAGCCCTTGTTGGGTGTACACTAACTTTAAAATTCTTATCAAACCAACTATTTATATAATAGCCAAGAGTAATTAGGCAGTTGGTAATTAGGTACATAAGAATACATGAACATTATTATAATAACATCTCTTTGAAATTATGTACACTTGGATTTTTTACATAACTTGTTATTGCCAGCCTTTTAGGAAATAAGATTATTAATTACCTTGAGCCTCATCCAGCTGTCGCTGCAGCTCGGCGACCATCAGCTTCATGTAGTCGTAGCTGGCGCAGGCCAGCGCCTTCATCCACGTCTCCATGGAGGCCTGCGAGTTGGTGCACAGGTAGTAGGTTCGCCCGCCCTCGCACTGGAACACTATTTTGAAGCTGTACGCCTCTTCTTCTGTTAATTCTGAAATGTTTAAAAATTAATCAGTGTTTTTTTAACACAGATGATATCTCTCTCTATCCTTCATTACAACAAAGTAATTTGACCAGTAAAGATTAAAATAAAATTGAAATTATCATAATTCTGATGGTGCCTACATGTTGGATAGTAGTGAAATCTATGATAATCAAAATTGCAGGTAGCTTTATGAATATTCACATTTAGAAAAAGTGAAAGTACCCTCACTTTAGTTTGTTTCTACCAAAGAAAAAATGTAGAATCCTTCTTGCTTATTTTTTACTTCACAAGAAATATTTACCTACCTACATTAAAAAAACCAAACTTTATAGTTTGTTTTGTAAAATTACTTATAATAAAATTAAAATGGACAACGGCTCAGTATAAAATGCAGTTATGTTCATGTTTTATCTGTTAAAACTAAGGTTTTTCCTGTACTGTTGTAGTAACTGTGTAGTATCATTATAATCCCAACTATAACTTTACCGCATGAAATAAATATCAACAGAAATACTAATATCTAAATAGTAACGTACCAATAGTGCACCCTTCCAGTATAATGACCCCTATAGGTTCCTTGTCGCCCTTTTTGTCGAAGTAAAACAGCAGGTTCCCTTTGAGCGTGAACCAGCGCTTCTGGTAGCTCTTGCCGATCTCGCCCCGCATGTCCAGCCAGCCGTCGCGGTCCACCGGAGTCGCAGACGACGCGAAAGCGGATAAATTCTTCTCATTTATCTTCATTTTTAATAAATAACGCGTCTGAGGAAACACGAAAGCCTTGCGGAACACGCGATCGGCGTGCACGAATAGCTCAGATATGGCGGGTGGATATTCACATAGTCGTCACGAACAACAATTATGATTAGCTATGATTGAATCAAAATTAATTTAAACCAAACAAGAATCAGTCAGTAGATCATTTTTTTCTTGATTTTTCGTCACTTTTTCAGCATTTTTTACTACTGTCAGCTGTCACACATGAATTGTGTCACTGTCAAAAGTGTCAACTGTCAATGTGATAAGGTTGTTCCGATTCGCACTGTTATAGATGACCCACACTGAACTGTCCCACCAAACTCAATGACAGGGGGGCGCTACCATCGTTCAACTATATGGTTTCCAACATGGCAAAAATCTGAACCAGCGATCCGGTATTGACGGTGGCGCCCAGTGGGGCGCCACCGTCAATACCGGATCGCTGGATGACATTGACAGTGGTCAATGTCATCGACAGGACAGTCCAGTATTTTGGAACTAGGTATATACGAGTCTCAGAATACAGAACAAACCAGAAGGAGTGTTCGATAACATTTCTACGCGGCAACTTGTGTCCAAAATACTTCCCCTCCCGCGCCCCTCTGCCCCCTTTAGTGTTACTAGCGCCGTGTGACACCCCCATTTTTGGGGTAAAATTATGTAATTTTTTAAAGAGATGTTAAACAAGTAAAAAATAAGTAAGTGAAATAAGTACACACGGCCAGTGTTAACTATCCATTTCCGTTTTTGCTCTCGCTCTTATCAAATGGTGATTCTTTGCGATAGAACGAGATGACATGACTGGNCTTTTACTAATATTTTTTATATTTTATGTTTGATCTTTTTACATTATAAAATAATTACACTCATCTTCCTCATTGGAAATGTGCTACTTACGGATAAAACATGATCCCATGCACTTTCTTCGTAATTCCAGTAGCATTCTTACATGTTGGAACGGCACAAGACGGCATAATTTAATTATAAAGTGTCAATCTGACGGATATGTAAACAATGCGCGCGCCGGCCATTGACTGATTGCTCTAAAGTCAAAGTAGTGCGATTTGGAGTACTTTATATGAATACACATTTACGCCCGTTGACGGTTTCTGGTTTGTTCCGTATTCTGAGATACGAGTATACGATAATGAAAAATCCAACTCCTGTAAAATTAAGTTGCCCAAAAAATAGCAACGCCCGTTAGGGAACTCCATCCAGAATCTGGTTAATAAGTTGGTTAAACAGCTATAGCTGGGAAGGATTATCTCTTATTGTTGTAAATGTGGTAAAAATGGTCTTAAAAGCAAGTTTTTCAAAGTGAAAACTTTCTCGGAATCATAATATAAACATTTTATGAAAACGTTAACTTGATAGAAGCAACTTTTAGGGACTGATCCGATCATTATATGTCTTCTTTCTGTATTACGAGCAGTATTTAATACACAGTTAAATCTGCTGAAATTCGGGTTTTAGTAAAGTATAGGTATACTAATAAGATTAATTACTTACCTACCCACATACTTATTCCTCCCATGCTAATTACGTTGTTAATGCTATTGTCTTTCTGAGTGACAGATTTTTTATAATGGGTTAATGTAACTTTAGAGTAGGTAGGCTTACATTTTCTTTAAATCATGCAATGCATTTATTAAAATACAAATCAATTAGTATAGGATTACACAGAATTTATGCTGCATTTAAATCTTAACAATTAAAAATCCTGATAAAATGTACTAGTTAATTAGAAACAAAACTTGTAAATTTGTGATCGTCAAACCAAAATGGAAATAATTCAAGTCGTCCACGTGTTGAATTTCTTTTGTATACTTCATCTCACAGCTAGTGATGAGTCGACGTCAGCTCACGTAATCGCTTCGGACCTACTGGAAGAGGGAAAACTGAATTTCAGACAAATTGTTAACCAGTGTGGGTTTGAATGTGACGTACACGAGGTGGTCACGCAGGACGGGTACGTGCTCACGCTGTTCCACATACCAGGAGATAAGACGCGACCAGTGTTCCTCCTGTCGGGGAACTTCGGCTCAGCTGACGACTACATCGCACGAGCCAACATCTCCCTGCCGATCATTCTCGCAAAAGCTGGCTACGACGTATGGGTGGGCAACTGGCGCGGCTGCAAGTATGGCCGCCGCCACCTCACACTCGACCCTGACCGCGACCGAGACCAGTTCTGGAACTTCAGCTTCCACGAGTATGGGCTATACGACGTACCTGCTAATATAGACTACGTTTTGAACAAAACCGAGTCGAAACAACTCGCCTGCATTGCCTGGTCGATGGGCACCACAGCGTTTTACGTCCTGGGGACACTACGACCGGAGTATAACGATAAAGTATCGGTACTGATATCTTTGGCCCCGATTGGCACCCTGCACCATTCCGTGCCCCTTCAACACATGATCGTGATGTTTCCACTCCTGAACGCATTTTGGGAAATAACGGACACGCAAGAGATGTACGGCGAAAATTCCACTTTTGTAACCGTTTTACGGTACGTGTGCCGATCCAAGGAGTTGGGTTATGAGCTGTGCATGAAAGGGTGGATCTTCGATTCCTTCGGGGCCGATCCAAAGAATTTGGAGCGAGAATTTACCCCGGTGATGTTTAGTCATTTTCCGTCGTCCATCTCCACGAAGGCGATGCGGCATATGGCGCAGGTCGTGATGGCAAAACGACTCGTGCAGTACGACTACGGGCCGACGGAGAACTTCGAGCGGTATGGGTCGGCGGAGGCGCCGAGCTACGAGCTGGAGAGGAATGATATGCGCGTGGTGCTGGTGTCGGGCAAGAATGACGTCATCTCCACGCTGCCCGACGTGGAGCTGCTGAAGGCTTCGCTGGCCAACGTGGCGGAGCACGTGTTATTGAAGCCTGCAGAGTTTAGCCACTTCGACTTCGCGTACGGGAGGAGCTCCCATAAAGTCTTGTACAAAACACACATCCTGGGATTTCTGAAAAAGTATTTTAGTGTAAATGAAGAAGAATAATTGCATGCATAAAGTTTTGTTTTCTTATTTTGGCAGATGTGACTTTTTTTCATAAGATCAGTAAAAGTTTAACTGCAAAGAAAGATTAGGAAATTCATAAAAACCATAGCACACTGATAAAATCTATATATATAAAAGAAAGTCGTGTTAGTTACTTCACTTATAACTCAAGAACGGCTGAACCGATTTAGCTGAAAATTGTCAGGGAGGTAGTTTAGAGCCAGGAGAAGGACATAGGATACTTTTTATCCAAACGAAATAAAAAAAAAGTCTGCTTATTTATTGCCATTAAGGCGGAACAAAGTTCGCCGGGTCAGCTAGTTAAGCATAAAATGAAACAATGCTTTTAAATATGTAATATTTTATTCATAATTATTATTACCTATTTTCACAGTTATTTATAAAGTTATATTAATATCAAGTATTACACTAAGTTTGTTTTATGAATTTCTAATGATTGCTCCGTTTAGAAAATTTGATTTCCATCAATCATCAGATTTGACCGCTTACAACTAATATTTGACAAAATGGTGTGGTCTATTTACAGTACAATCCCAATTCCCTAAAAAAATTGACAAATTCACAATAACAAAAAGAGGTCAAAAACGAAACTCTAAAATAATTCATTCAACTACAAACCTCACCTAACAACTGTACAAAATATTACGAGTGGTTTCTTTAAAACGTGCTCCATTATACATCGGCAATGTGGGCAAATAATTACGTCGATCCTATATACAAAATGTCGTTTACAAAAACAAAATATAAACTATATACAACATCATTAAATATTCTCAAATGCTGTAACACATTTAAAACATTTCATATTCAACTAGGCGTAATTCAGTTAATTGGCGGCCGGACCGCTGGCGCTGGCAAACCAATCTTTAGACACTAAGCAACAAAACGGGACTTCACATTACTTGAACCAATTTAGATTTCGGTAAATTTGTTCAGCTCGATAAGCCGACTTCCGACTCCCACCGACTGGGCGCGGAAACAAGGATCACGTCGACCGGCGAGTAACGCGTCGGACATATTTACACGCTTGCACGGCACACCTCCCTACTTACGCTTTAATAATATATTAAAATAGAAAATTTTATATAACTACCAAACTGTCGGAGATTCGGCGAATCAACATCGCCGTCGCGGCGGTCGCTCCGTTACATCTTTATAAAACGACGACGTCTAATTATACAAACGCTACTCAAACATGATCTAGGGGGCTCTCTTTACAACTATTTATCTAAACGTAAACTATTGGTGTTACTTATTATAGCATTAAACCAGAGGTTTGTTTGTCATAAGATAATCTAGCATTTCTGTGTATAAGACCGTCTGCGAGCCCGCTGCCCGTTGTGCCCTCGGGACGCTGTACTGTACATGAACGAATTACCCAGCTGCTAAGTCAAAATGGTCAATTCGTCTAATATAATTGTCACTAATTTGTAAACCTACGTGATTGCGAATACGAATAAAGCTCGAAATTAAAACGATAAAAGTTCCATGGATTCGAAGTAAAAATCTTATAAAAATAATACACTTTAATGAGTAAAACGAATGTCAACGATGATTATTTTGTATTTTGTAGTATAACGCGATGGCGAAATGAGAACCCTGTCAAACGAGATGGTCTGTGGAGTCCTATTCAATAAAGATGTTAAAATATCTAAAAACACTACACATAGCTAACTCCTTTGGTAATTCATACCGGTTTATTACAATAACGTAAAATAAAATTATATATTACATTATACATAGCACAACAACGTAATAGTAATATTAAAACTTCAGTAGATAACTTGTGACGTATGTCCGCCGGAACTACGACTCGACTACTCTATGCAGTGTCGCACTACACATACATACTGATAACATCTATGAGAATGCTTTGAGATGTTGATAAAAACAAAATAAATAGGGCGTGTACGGCGCATAAACGGATGAGTCAAAAAAAATATTTTTAAATTCAGCAAAGATATAACAATACCTGTTCTGAGCTATAAAGCTTCAGGGCAGTTTATGAGAATGCCAGGACTTAATTGTCAATAACAATTGTATGTTAAAAATATTCCGTACAAAATGTATGCGTAGTTGAGCTGTTAAAGCAGATCATATCACCTGCCATGATTGAGTAAAAACATTCTAAAACACTAAAAGGTTAAAAATAATACATAAATTCTTCAGTTTAAGAGATTGATACAATAAAATTAACAGATGGGCTTTAAAATGGCTATCAAACATGATCTTACACTACACAAAGCTTGTAATGTTAAATTAATTTTCACTGCTCCATAAAAATACCATAAAATGGGTACTAGTCTACACAAAATGAGGTTCATGATAATTTCAAATGGAGAGATCAGGAAGTATTAACGTATAGAAAGACAGAGTGGAAGTTGTTCCTTTAGTAGAAACTTCAATTAATGAAAATGAAATGCCCTTTAATGAGAAATAATCTCATGCCAAATTGGACCTCCAAGTGTCATATCAAACTATAACAAACTAGTATACCCGGCTTATCTAGCAATTTTAAAAATTTTCTATATAATATATAAATAGTTGATATTTGATGGATTCCATTGTGGTAACATCTCGTCTGGTCATTCACCTATCTACTTACTAAAAGTTGCTCGTAAAAGTAAAATTCATCAGAGAAACTATAATACATACAAGTATATCGGATTATTATCAAGATAAAAATATTACAAAATGCATCGGTTACACGCGCTATCACTATTTTCCTAGTCGTGCGATCGGGCACTTTCAGCGACAACTTGTAGTAACTAGAGCACTAGGCAGAGTGACCGCGACGCCACTGGTCACCGCCGCAGTCGAGGTTCGACGCGACTATCTTTGGATGAGACGCCAACACCGGGCGACGGCCCGTCCTATATTAATTTACCTAAGTACCGGCCGGCCGGCGCCGCCCCGGGCCGCGCTCGTGGTCAAACAATAAATAATGAAAATAAATAATAATTTAACAGGAGCCGCGCGGTCGTCGGGGGCCGGCCGGCGCGGCGCAGCCGGCGGCGACGGCTCGAAACGTTTCGAGCCACTTTCGCCGCTAACTGTACTGCACGTGCACAACAATTCTAGCCTAACGAACAGGTACGAGCGCAGTCACGCGTAACCATGAAACCCGCCGCCGTTCCACTCACTGTCTCTTGCACTACGTTACACTTCACGCACAAACTGAACACCACGCCGCACTGATATTATAAGACACCATTACTCGTTGTAGATTTGCACTTGCGATCACTTGAAGATTGCACTAAGTGATCTGGTAGTAAAGATGGCGCCACTAATGGTAGGATAGATGCCACTTATTCAACGGGTAGTAGCACTAGACGTCGCCGCTTTCTGTTGGGCAAGTATTTGGAGCCATAGATCACTTTATTGCAGAGGCAGGCAGTCGTAGTGTTGTCTGTAGAGCTGACGGCACAGCGCACGCCAACTGACAGCCTTTTTTGAAACCAGTATGGTCACTAGGCAGCCGTAGCGCTTGCTGTGTTAATTGCGCGCCAGCTCCTTATTCCGGCGCGGTGTTATATTCCGGCGCGGTGTTATATTCCGGCGGCGGCGGCGNCGGTGTTATATTCCGGCGCGGTGTTATATTCCGGCGTGGTGTTATATTCCGGCGGCGACGTGGGAGGCGGCTAGCCGAGCGCGGCGGCGGTGTGGTAGAGCTGCATGAGCACCTGCACGTGCAGCGGCAGGCAGGAGCGCCGGTCGTGCGTGCTGCCATCCAGCGCCAGCCACGATAGCGCGTTGTAGCCTTCCAGCACGTATCTGCAAGCGTAAATGTGTTTTAGTACATTACATAACCAATTTTTTTAATATAAAAATAAAAGGGTTTTTGTGGCGGTCAAGCTGTAGATCCTGGGCTACACAGGAGTTGCAGTGGTGGGGACGAGAGGTGGGAATTACATAACCAAATAAATGTGTCAGAAATATCGCTCTGTCCAGATTGTCTAAAAGCCTAAACGTAAATGTGTTTTAGTACATTACATAACCAATTTTTTTAATATAAAAATATACATAACAGGGTTAATAAAAGGGTTTTTGTGGCGGTCAAGTTGTAGATCCTGGCTACACAGGAGTTGCAGTGGCGGGAACGAGAGGTGGGAATTACATAACCAAATAAATGTGTCAGAAATATCACTCTGTCCAGATTGTCTAAAAGCCTAAACAGTGTCATTCCAATTTTTTTTTATCCACAACGAGGAAGCTCTTGGCCTGTATCTCACCTGATGGTAAGTGACGATCAGGCCGAAGGTTTTGAAAGGAAGGAATAATTTGTTGTTTGACTATCCATTTTAGTAGTAAACACGTACTTATTCATCATCATTTCAGCCATAGGACGTCCACTGCTGAATATATAGATAGGCCTGCCCCTATAATTTCCACGTTGTTCGATTGGTAGCAACCTGCATCCAGCGCTTCCCTGCTACCTTTACGATGTCGTCGGTCGTCCCACGCTGCGTTTCCCGGTACGCGGCCTCCATTCCAGAACCTTGCTGCCGCATCGGCCGTCAGTTCTGCGTACTATGTGCCCTGCCCATTGCCACTTCAGCTTGCTAATCCGTCGGGCTATGTCAGCGACTTTAGTTCGTTTACGGATCTCCTCACGTTACGAAACACGTACTTATTACAGCTACATAAGTGCTGCATCCGAATAATAAATAGTACGCACCTCAGTGGTGGTCTGCGAGTCCAGCGGGTGCCCGTTGTGGTTGTGCCGCAGAGACAGCGAGTACATCTCATCTGATCGAAGATCGTAATTATGTTGCTGTCGCGCTCGCACACTCACTTCGGGCGCCCGTCGCACAGTCGCGACAGCAATATAATTACGCGCGAGCGATAAGGATGGGTAGCTTGGGGTCATTGGACGGGATTCTACGTGCTCACGGACCAGGCTTTAGATGCAGCGCGTTCTTGAGGAAGGCGGCATGTTGTCTGTAAGGCTACACGCACCTCAGCACGTCGGTGGTGGTCTGCGAGTCCAGCGGGTGCCCGTTGTGGTTGTGCCGCAGAGACAGCGAGTACATTTCATCGGACTGGAGGCTTCCGGCGTGCAAATGCAGTGCGTTCTTCAGGAAGGCGGGACATGCGTCTCGCAGGTGGGCACAGCCCGCCCACCACCACGCCGGCATCCCACCCAGCGGCGCCGTCGACACCATGTAGCCTAGGGCTAAAGGCTGCTGCAGTACTGTGCCCACTTGCTCCTGGAAGAAGAGAAGGGTTTTGTTATTGGGTGAAGATATAATTGTAACTAATGAGGATTTATACTTGATCAATGAAAAAATTGATTTATACATGAAAAAAAGTTGCATAAATGGTTCATCTGGGTGAATTAATTCCTAGGTGAACAAAAGCGACCGCTTTAGTCGACTCAATTCACCTGGAAAATGAAACTGGATAAAATGAGGACACTAAAAATCCACTTTGTTCATCCAGGTGAATAATCTACAACTGAAGCTACTCAATTTGGTTGATAATGACAGTTTAACTATTCCTTGGGACAAACTTGTCTTTTACTGGTTGAGTCTGTATCGGCGGTCAAGCTGTAGATCCTGGCTACACAAGAGTTGCAGCGGTGGGAATTCTCCCGTATTTTTATAAATAACTTGAAAAAATCGAACTGCTTAAGACGGAAATTGAACCCACGACCTTCCACTTGCCGGGCGACTGCTCTTCCAACTGAGCTACATAGACACTGGATGAACCCGTCGAAACTTACTTCTCCTCTCGGTCGGCGCGGGGAGCCTGGGCCGCGTGCACTCACCGCGGCGGCGTCGTCCTGGTGGTGGTAGNCGGCGGCGGCGTGGGAGGCGGCTATCCGAGCGCGGCGGCGGTGTGGTACAGCTGCATGAGCACCTGCACGTGCAACGGCAGGCAGGAGCGCCGGTCGTGCGTGCTGCCGTCCAGCGCCAGCCACGATAGCGCGTTGTAGCCTTCCAGCACGTATCTGCAAGCGTAAATGTGTTTTTAGTACATTACATAATGGTTTACACTAGAATCAACAGAAGATGAATGCAGAAACTTTTACACAAGACACGTAGGAAGAAAATCAAGGTATCTTACGTAGGCTTAATTTCCTTTCAAATTCAAATATTTTATTCAATACATAGACCCTTTCCAGGGCTCTTTCACACGTCCAAAATATACATAGCTTGCCCTACTACTTCGGGACAACATATTGACTGGTGCTGAGAAGAAATGGCGGAAGAAATCAGTCACCTTTGTCAGCCTCTTTTTTAATAAAATACAGTAATTTATAGTTTACATGACACGCAATAAATGCGAGCTAGGCAGGTAAAATCCACACATTCTTGTCATTTAAATAATCGTTTACTTTATTTATAGTATCCTTTTTTCATAAGAACTTTCTTTCTTTTACGCCCAGCGCGTTCATGCAGCGTACATGCAGCGCGTTCTTGAGGAAGGCGGCATGTTGTCTGTAAGGCTACACGCACCTCAGCACGTCGGTGGTGGTCTGCGAGTCCAGCGGGTGCCCGTTGTGGTTGTGCCGCAGAGACAGCGAGTACATTTCATCGGACTGGAGGCTTCCGGCGTGTAGATGCAGCGCGTTCTTGAGGAAGGCCGGGCAGGCGTCTCGCAGGTGGGCACAGCCCGCCCACCACCACGCCGGCATCCCGCCCAGCGGCGCCGTCGACACCATGTAGCCGAGGGCTAAAGGCTGCTGCAGTACTGTGCCCACTTGCTCCTGGAAGAAGAGAAGGGCTTTATTATTGGGTGAAGATATAATTGTAACATCTAAAGATTTATACTTGATTAGTGAAAAAAAGGGTGAACTAATTCCTAGGTGTACAAAAGCGACCGCTTTAGTCGACTCAATTCACCTGGAAAATGAAACTGGATGAAATGAGGACACAAAAAAATCGACTTTGTTCACCCAGGTGAATAATCTACAACTGAAGCTACTCATTTTGGTTGACAATGACAGTTTAACTTTCACCTGGGGCACACTTGGCCTTCACTGGTTGAGTTTGTATCGGCGGTCAAGCTGTAGATACTGGCTACACAGGAGTTGCAGCGGTGGGAATAATCCCGTATTTTTATAAATAACTTGAAAAAATCGAACTGCCTAAGACGGAAATTGAACCCACGACCTTCCACTTGCCGGGCGATTGCTCTTCCAACTGAGCTACATAGACACTGGATGAACCCGTCGAAACTTACTTCTCCTCTCGGTCGGGCGGGGAGCCTGGGCCGCGTGCACTCACCGCGGCGGCGTCGTCCTGTAGGCCTAAGATGCGCGCATCGACAATGACATGATATGATATGACAATATTCGATCACGTAGATAATTTTATCGTTTTCCCTAACATGGGACCATCGACAGAGAAGTCTATGGACCCGCTATCGCGTGATAACCCAATTGTTGCCATATTAAGAAAAATTAGCGTTATTATGTTGGCCAACCTTGAAATATTTTAGCTCATTCGTTCAATCTCGTTCATTTCTGCTATTAATTCGNTATAATATTGATGATCAACATTTTGTATGTAAACTTAAAATACAAATAGGATTAAGTAAATGTTTCTATTTATGTAATTGTAATAATTGTGTTTAAATAATATTCTTTCTTTTTTCAGACAGTGGATGAAGAAGTGTGGGATTATGAGTGATTATTTCATTCTAAAGCAGACATAAGCAAGTCTCGCTCACTGTCATGAAAATTCACAATAACAATCAGCAAATAACTTCAAGGATACTGGCTAGGCTAACCAATTCATGGAATTCTGTTAGTGTTTGAAATTATCAATAGCTATTGTAAAACAAAAGTTTTCCAAATAAAGATTTTGTAAATAATGGTTGAATTATTTTGAAATTACACTGCAATAATGAATTTATTGCCTGGTTGGTAGCGGCCTGCGTGATGTTGTCGGTCCACCTTTGATGATGAATGTACAAGATTATCATCCTGTCACATTAAAGCCCTTAAAAAAGTTCAAACGGAGGAATTAGATTTATAGTAATGTGGAATGTATGTATGGTATCACCGTCAAGTTATAAAATTAGTAAAATTCATTTATTCTCATTGTTATTATAGCAATTTTTTATTGATTACATATCCCACCCAATGCTAATTTCTGACAATGACCTTGCCACTGTTTGAAAATAATATAGACATAAGAAGCTCGGTCCCCACATTCCGCCCCATTTTCAATATTTTTTACAAGATTATGCACACATGACAGTAGGTACTTAAATCAAGCTAAACACACTGTGGGGTATCTCACGTCATTTGCAACTTAATATTTGTCTGATGTACTGTTGTTGACTGCCTACCTAAGTAGGTAAGTAAGTAATGGTTATTTTACAAGGTAGGTAATGTAATAATTAAATGTGGGTGGGACTGTGGGAGCACTTAGATTTTGCAATTAATGATTATAAACTGTCGCAAGATTCGCCTCACATCCATTGCAATAATTACAAAATGCTGCTTCTGATAAACTTGAACTCTTGAACTCTTGAACTAAAACTCAATCTCCACCTAGAAGTAAAAGTATCACAAAGGTGCTAGATTCCTTTCTTTGAATTTTTCTAGCCTCAAATTAATCGTAAAATGTCATTTACCATTGTAAATGATAAATAAATAGAGTTAAAGTAGCTTGCAAAAAAGTTAATCTCCTATCGTCTTGCTATCGTGGGCAAGGATCGAGGACGATAAAAACACCACATCCTATCCTATCGTGATGTCAAAATATGATATAGTTAGCGCTTCATGTTAGGGCTTGCCAGGTTTATCGTGGTGGTGGCTGGCGGGCGGGGAGCCGGGCTCCTCTCGGTCGGGCGGGGAGCCTGGGCCGCGTGCACTCACCGCGGCGGCGTCGTCCTGGTGGTGGTAGTGGTGGTGGTGGCTGGCGGGCGGGGAGCCGGGCTCCTCGAGGTCGGGGCGGCGCGGGGAGGCCCGCGGGGAGCCCTGCGGCCACATGTTGTTGAACATGTCCCCGATGAGCAGCTCGGCCATGTTGTCCTCGCCCATGTCCTCGTCGGCCATGTCCACGTCCAGGAACATCATGTCGTTTTCCACGCCGTTCGCCATCGGCTGCTCGAACGGCATCGGGTTTGACTGGAATGAAACATTTTATGTTAGAAAATTTGAAATTGAAAGTTGCAATATGATGCTGATCTTCTTCCTCGCTACTCTTTTGGCATAGTGTTCATGGTCGTCACATATAGTTTGGTGGCAATAAGCTTCACAGTCGGTCGCCATTCCCTCCGTATTGCAGCCTTTCTTGTAAAGTTGTACATCGGTTATGGTTTTGACTTGATCGGTCCCACGTATGGGCGACCTGTCGCGCGCTCTTATGCCTTCAACTTTAACCTGCACAAGTTACAAGCTAAACAGATGTGTCATACTTTAGACGAAGAAAGAAACACTGTTTGAATGAATTAAATGATAAGCTGAACTCCATAAAATTGTAAATGCGTACCTGTGTGGTAGCCGAAGTGGGGAAGACGAGTATATGCGTGGCGGAGACGTCTCGCGGCGTGTGCAGGTGCGACTGGATGGATGCCTGGCTGAAGCGCTCGTCGGGCGTGAAGCGGTCCGCCATGAGCCGCAGGCACGAGTCGGGCTCGGTAGACACCAGGCACGCCGACACGATGGCCGGCACGCCGCTTGGTGCTAGGACCGCGCACGCGCCGCATAACTCGCGGAGAACTGATGACGCTCGGACGAGGTTCTTGCGAGATAGTAGCCAGCTCCAGCCTGGTAATGAAGTAAGAGTTCATTGACTTTGCTGCTTTGTTCGTATAGAACGCACATTAAGCTGATAATCACGTGGCGTGTGAGTAAAAAATGTAGTCTGATATAGCGCGGACGAGGTTCTTGCGAGATAGTAGCCAGCTCCAGCCTGGTGAAAAATCACGGGTTCATTGACTTTGCTGCTTCGTTCAAATAAGCTGTTATCACTGTTACACCTTACGTAATTGTAATAAAAGCTGTTTTGGCAAAAATATTCTCATGTTATTTTTTAGCGGGTTAAATCGGGTGGCTTTTGGATATGACGTCACCGACAGTCTCCGTGACATTACATTGAGTTTAGACGACATACACATAAATGTAAATAAATAATAATTATGTATTTACATTTAGTTTATGTAAATACATAATTATTATTTGATTAGTGACTCGGAATTTCATCGGGATTTACACCACAAACCAAGTAACACATTTTAATTCCAAATAAACAAATAACACACGAATTGAATACCAATCTTCGTACATCGTATTGTTGTGTATTACGGTGAAGCTATTGACAAATAGAACGAGTGTGCATTACCTTTGAGCTCGCCGTGCCCGATGCGGCCCACGCGGCCCACGACGAGGCGCCAGGGCTGCGCCGCGTGGCTCATGACGCCGAGCGTAAAATCCATCAGCTTCCGCAGCCCTAGCCGCCGCGCTGGCCCGCCGCGTCGCAACCGAGACCTGCGCAAACATTATATTACGTTAATATATTAATTACATTTTAAAGTCTCAAATATTCTCAAAAAAGCAATGGCGTTTTGGATTTCCAATAAAACATGAGAATGAGCAAAGCGGGTTTACTCTGCTATCCAAAGAATCCCTCTCACATAAAGCGAGATGCCAGAGATTGACCCGAAAATACGCTAATGGCGTGGGCAATAACCCCAGCAAAAATGATCAGACCAGACCAACTCCTTCTGATGTAAAAGATCAGTGTCTAGCACCATGGCCTCATCGATCACTAGCTATTGAAAGCAGTGTCTAGTTTCAACATTATCGTCTGGTCAGCATGACCAAATTTTTTGTCTTTGTCGTGTTCCTAAAGTGAAGACTAAATGACTAAAGCCCGGTCTGTGTTGCAGTCGCGCTCGCACAGTCGCGACAGCAATATAATTACGCGCGAGCGATAAGGATGGGTAGCTTGGGGTCATTGGACAAAATTCTACGTGCTCGCAGACCAGACTATAGAATGAGTGGAGTTTAAACGACCTGATGATCACTATCACCAGTACCTGNTGACAATGTCCTTTGGATTAGCAAGTTGTAATATGGTGCTGATGAGGATCTTCTTCCTCGCTACACTCTTGGCAGAGTAGTCATGGTCGTCACATCTGGTTTGGTTCTCTCGTATTGCATTTGCAGCCTTTCTTGTACATCATTGAGTGCGGTTTTGACCTGATCGGTCCAACGCATGAGCGATCTTCTTCTTATTCGTTACGCTCTTGACACAGCGGTCGTGGTCACGTTAAGGCGTTGGCGCCTGGCGAATGTGCGACCTGCCAGGCGTTGTTGTGCCTTCCACCTCCCCCTGCACGACAAATCGTTAAACAAAACTGTGTCGTCTCCACGTGTGACAAAGAGCGCGAGATCACAACTTTGGATGACGGAAGAAAGACATTATTTGATGCAAAGTTCAGATGACAAAATGACCCCTGACCTGAACCATAAAGGCGTGTCGTAAACATACATCCTAAGGGCTATATTTCACCGGGACACCACCAACCAGTCGCCGCTACCAACAAAATGTATACAGCTCTATAGAGATTTACTCACCTGGTGTCCGTTTGGTTGCGCAAAGCTGTATTCATTTTGTTGGTAGCGGCGACTGGTTGCGCCGCCATGGTGTCCCGATGAAATATAGACCTAAGTTAAACTCAATAAGATTGTAATATTTGTACCTGCGTGGTAGCCGAAGTGGGGAAGACGAGTATATGCGTGGCGGAGACGTCTCGCGGCGTGTGCAGATGCGACTGGATGGAGGCCTGGCTGAAGCGCTCGTCGGGCGTGAAGCGGTCCGCCATGAGGCGCAGGCACGAGTCGGGCTCCGTGGACACGAGACACGCCGACACGATGGCTGGCACGCCGCTGGGAGCTAACACCGCGCACGCGCCGCATAGCTCGCGGAGAACTGATGACGCGCGGACGAGGTTCTTGCGAGATAGAAGCCAGCTCCAGCCTGGTGAAGAATCACGGGTTCATTGACTTTGCTAATGAGGGTTTTCGCGTATGAAAGATCCGCTAGATTTCGGGACGTGGATGTGGGGTCTGACTGCTGCGTAATTGGTGGATTTTGACATATCTGTCAAGGTCATGTCAAATATAACCAATCATGCAGCATTTGGTCCTCGCATCTACGTATTGCCATCTGGCGGATTTTTCATACGCGAAAACCCTCATTTGTTGAAATAGAATGCACATTAAGCTGATAATCACGTGGCGTGTGAGTAAGAAATGTAGTCTGATATGCTGTCATAAGCAGCCTTTTAAGACAAATATCAAAGTATGACATACATTCAGAAGACGGTTTTAGATACGTCACCTGAACAGTCATATCATTTATCATTACATTATGTTTAGATGATATACACATGCATTTTACAGTCATAATGTATTATCTGTGCTTTGTGTTGTCATACTGGGTTTTCCCTTTTTGTAAATATGCATACCATACAGTAATAAATAAGAATAAGAATATTTTTATTGATGTAATACACTGTAACATTTTATATTGAAGCCCTGGCTCCTAAACTAGTGTAAACTGTATTTCAGGAGCCAGTGTCTTCCCAATAGGTGAATACAGACAGTTGTTAATATATATTTCCTTCTTTCATTTTGTCTATAACTTTATAAAGTAAAGCTAGAGACGTATTTTTATACCAAATACACAATATCGCACAAATCGTATAACTATCTCCATATGATAGGTGCAGAAACGTCTTGTATAAAAACATATAAAATACGTTACACAGGTAAATATTGTTAAAGCTGTAAATTAAATCAAGGTGTAAGAAATATTTGGGTGTTTACCTTTGAGCTCGCCGTGCCCGATGCGGCCCACGCGGCCCACGACGAGGCGCCAGGGCTGCGCCGCGTGGCTCATGACGCCGAGCGTAAAATCCATCAGCTTGCGCAGCCCTAGCCGCCGCGCCGGCCCGCCGCGTCGCAACCGCGACCTGCGCAAACATTATATTACGTTAATATTATTAACTAGCTGACCCGGCGAACTTCGTACCGCCTTAGCGTAGAGATTTTCTTAATATTTTTTTTCGTAAGAACCATCCTTGGACTTCCACAAACATTTAAAAAAAAGAATTATCGAAATCGGTTCAGCCGTTCACACGTGATGCCGTGACAACGCGAAACGGGTTTCATTTTTATATATATAGAAGATTACATTTTTAAGTCTCAAATACTCTTAGAAAAGCAATGGCGTTTTGGATTTCCAAGAAAAATGAGAGTGAGAATGAGAGAGCAAAGCGGGTTTACTCTGCTATCTAAAGTTTCGAATCCCTCTCACATAAAGCAAGTTTTTTTATGCATAACAAGGCAGTTATTTGACTACAATCGCACCTGATGTTAAGTGGGATGCAGTCTAGGATGGTACATAGTATCTGCCCTGTAAGTGCCTATTCACTCTCGCCTTGAAAAGGCCCGACTTATAGTCTTCGGAAAAGACAGACAGATGCCAGAGATTGACCCGAAAATACGTAAATGGCGTGGGCAATAGCCCCGCAGAAATGATCAGACCAGACTAACTCCTTCTGATGTAGAAGCCCAGTTCTCCACCATAGTCTAATCGATCACCAGCTATTGAAAACAGCGCTAAGTTGCCACATGTCGCCTCCCCAACTCCAGCATGGGAAATGTAGGCCAAATCTTTAATTTGCTTCTGGTAAGCTAAATAATATGCTTGTTACGATTGGGTTCCACTTCAGCTTGCTAATCCGTCGGGCTATGTCAGCGTCTTTAGTTCGTTTACAGATTTCCTCATTTCTGATTCGATCTCGCAAAGAAACACCAAGCATAGCCCTCTCCAAAGCACGCTGTGCAACTTTGAGCTTCTGTATACGTCATAGTACGCATAACTGACGGCCGATGGGGCAGCAAGGTTCTGGAATGGAGGCCGCGTACCGGAAAACGCAGCGTGGGACGTCCACCTACAAGGTGGACCGACGACATCGTAAAGGTAGCAGGGAGGCGCTGGACGCAGGCCGCTACCAATCGATCAACGTGGAAAACATTAGGGGTGGCCTATGTTCAGCAGTGGACGTCCTATGGCTGAAATGATGATGATGATGATGATGATTGGGTTCACCACAATAATCTAGGGTCGGCGGGGTTTGATTTTTCGTAACTCGGATCTGGATTCGGCCAGGGTCGGCAGGGTTTGATGCCGCGTTCCTCGGATCTGGATTCAACCTATCTTACCTAAAGCTATGGGCTATTAGCATTATTGTGAGTACCTGGGCGGCACGTGTATGTTGATGGCCACGGTGTCGAGCAGCTCGCCGCGCGCGTCGGTGGCGGCGGCCAGCAGCCAGCGCTGGTCGTGCGACAGGCAGTAGGCCAGGAACAGCACGGCGCCCTGCTCGCCGAGGCTCTGGCCCCACGTCTCCGCCACCTCCTTCAGCGCGCGCGGCGGCGCCAGCACCCACGCCGGCGAGAATAGCTTGTACGGCGCTCGGTTTTTTTCCTGTGCGAGATAGTAAAGTTGTTATGTAAATTGAAACTCTACGTAAAATTCTACGTCTGCGGACACGAAACTGGTGACGGCCGAGCGATGATCGATGAGGAATAGTATTGCGATCGCCGCCGCGCTTTTCGTGGGCGTCACCATATACTGTCATGTTGTATGCATCGCCCCACGCCGAGCCGCCCTGCTGTCACAATCGCTCGGCCCGTCGCCAGTTTCGTGCCCGCAAGTTCACATTAAACGAGTATTATGTAAAGGTCGGGCAACGAGAGTCGAGGCGAACTTGGTACTATACTAGCGTAATATTTCCATACAGGAACACATAACATTTAAGTGGAAAATCGCTAGCCACCTCATTCTTGCTAACATAACGAATGTGTACAAGCGAGACAAAAAGAGCTTCTCGGTCAAACAGGAGAATTCCTAGAGTTGGGTTACAAATCAATGAAGTTCTAAAATTAGAAGGAACATCCTATACTTACTTGTACAAGGAAATGAGTACAATGGGTCAATGGACCATTCTAATGGCCATCAAATATGGTAATCCTCATTTTTCTTTTGTTTTTAACTTGTTCACCCGTGACGTAGTTTTGACCCTTTCACAAATACATAGTGTAGTTGCCAAGAGGTGACAAAATAAAAGACAACTCACGTCCTTATTCCCTAGGAAGAGGTTGGCGTCGGCCGCGGTCCCGAAGCCGGTGAGCGACTTGCCGTTGGGCGTGTGCGCCAGCAGCCGGCGCGCGCCGCTGAACACGCTGAAGGCCAGCGCGCGCGCTTCAGTCCCGCCTCCCGCATAGAATGTAATAGTGGACACAACTCACGTCCTTATTCCCTAGGAAGAGGTTGGCGTCGGCCGCGGTCCCGAAGCCGGTGAGCGACTTGCCGTTGGGCGTGTGCGCCAGCAGCCGGCGCGCGCCGCTGAACACGCTGAAGGCCAGCGCGCGCGCTTCAGTCCCGCCTCCCGCATAGAATGTAATAGTGGACACAACTCACGTCCTTATTCCCTAGGAAGAGGTTGGCGTCGGCCGCGGTCCCGAAGCCGGTGAGCGACTTGCCGTTGGGCGTGTGCGCCAGCAGCCGGCGCGCGCCGCTGAACACGCTGAAGGCCAGCGCGCGCGCTTCAGTCCCGCCTCCCGCATAGAATGTAATAGTGGACACAACTCACGTCCTTATTCCCTAGGAAGAGGTTGGCGTCGGCCGCGGTCCCGAAGCCGGTGAGCGACTTGCCGTTGGGCGTGTGCGCCAGCAGCCGGCGCGCGCCGCTGAACACGCTGAAGGCCAGCGCGCGCGCTTCAGTCCCGCCTCCCGCATAGAATGTAATAGTGGACACAACTCACGTCCTTATTCCCTAGGAAGAGGTTGGCGTCGGCCGCGGTCCCGAAGCCGGTGAGCGACTTGCCGTTGGGCGTGTGCGCCAGCAGCCGGCGCGCGCCGCTGAACACGCTGAAGGCCAGCGCGCGCGCTTCAGTCCCGCCTCCCGCATAGAATGTAATAGTGGACACAACTCACGTCCTTATTCCCTAGGAAGAGGTTGGCGTCGGCCGCGGTCCCGAAGCCGGTGAGCGACTTGCCGTTGGGCGTGTGCGCCAGCAGCCGGCGCGCGCCGCTGAACACGCTGAAGGCCAGCGCGCGCGCTTCAGCCCCACCCCCCGCGCCCGCGGTCCCTTCGCCAGCTGCGCCCGCGCCCATACCCCACGCTTCGCAGATGCCTTCTAGCGAGATGATCTGTGGATAATGCGATGTATATTAATACCATCTTTTTGAGATAACGACATATCTAAATGTCTGGCAAAGTCTGGTCCCCGAGCATGTAGAATTTCGTCCAATGACCCCAAGCTAGCTATCCTTATCACTCGCGCGTAATTATATTGCTGTCGCGACTGTGCGACGGGCGGCAGCAGTGCGTGTGCGACAGCAATATAATTAATTACGTGCGATCGATAAGGATGGGTAGCTTGGGGTCATTGGACGAAATTCTACGTGCTCGGCGACCAAACTATAGATATGTGGTACAATTAGGGTAAAAACTTTAATTTTGTCAAATCGGCGAACGGCAAAACATGCCGTCAACTAAATTATAACAGTGAACAAGCGCTTCTTACTGGTTAAAAAAAAGTAACTCTTATCAAGTTTCCCAAAGGTGGTTTTGAGGTAGCATGTAGCAACAGTTCTTTTCCTGACATTAACGCCCGTATTCACAAATATTACTATGAGGTCTCATAGTGCGCGTGGACGCACAGGGTGACACACGAACCAATCACAGAGCTCTATTCAGCGCTGTGCGTTCGATTTGCTGCTTCACTTAAGCAAGTATCGTTTGTGAATATGGGCGTATTTGTTTTTACTTAGCACTAGACACTAAGCGAGATTTATAGCACATTGGGAGCCATGGGAAGCTCTTAGCTCTAACCTCAAGCGGTCGCATTTTGACCGCGTAACAATAAAATTGATTATCTATTTGTGTCACGATTCGCGAGGCTTGAAGGGCCACACCCATTCCGTAGCATCACTGATTATTCACATTTTTACTTACACCAGTCAAAATACATTGAACAGTAGTGACGTACCTTGATAAGAGGGTTATGGTGCGCCAGATGGTGATGCGCCCGCGCCGCTAGCCTTAACAACGCGTGTAGCGCAGCTGGCCTATGCGCGTGCGACGCCGGCGGCTCCACTAAATACAACACTAGCGCCGGCGGCCCGCTTTCATCCTCCTCGAAGGAGTTGACGCAACCCGTAGCGGACGCTGCGTTGGATTCTTCGTCCGTAGCGGTGGGCGTGGTCTGGTCGGACGCGGGCGGGCGCGGCGCTGGTGCCGCTGGCGTGAGGTTGACGGAAGCCAGTAGAGGCAGTAGTGTGGTTCGTAGCGCGTCGGCGTACGCTCGGAGGTAATCGCCGAGGCGGCCGGGCGGCGTGTCGCCGAGCCAGTCGTCGGTGCGCTCGCGGTCGCGATCCGGCGCCGCTCGGTAGATGCCGTCGCGCGCCACGCGGGAGAGCGGCCGGTGCCGGCCTAGACGACAAGCCTGCAAGTTTGATAAGATCTTTAAGCTATTATCATGTTTAGGTTCGCGTCTACACAGCGGTACTATTACGAGCTCGTAAAATGGCTCAGTACATACCATCACAAGTCTTAAATTCAGTCTAGCTTAAATGATATTTAATTGGGTTTAAATGTACAAATAGTTTCCATTGCTAGTCTCTACAGGCCGCTTGTACGTGTTAAGATAAGTCGCCGGGCCTATGCAAGAATTCGGGTCGTTTTTTTACATAAGCCGTGTACATTTCTCCGGCGCTGACTAAGAAATATTTCTTGTCTGCGCTAGAACGACATGCGGCGGACACGCTCTGTGACAAATGTTCGTACCTAGCTAGAGCCTAGGAAATTCTTGTTTTGTCTGCGGTAGACACGGTGAAATTTCTTAGCGTGTACAAGAAGCCTCAGGCGTACCTTACATACAATACATCATAGAAAACAGTGTTACGACAACACGTTGTCTGCTGCTGCCGAGTGTATTCGGCTGAGACTGCAACCACAACTCTAAGTTGCGGCGTGTTTTTTCTTATTTATGGCTTTCTCGGAAGGCGTGTTTACCATAGTGACTGTGCTGGAGGTGGAAGTAGGGATGTTACCTCGTAGGCGGCGGCCAGGTCGCGGAAGAAGGCGCGCGCGGGCTCGGCGAGCGCGTCGGGGTCGGCGCACAGCACGACGTACTGCACGTCGCGCGCGTACGCGTACGGCTCCAGCGCCAGCCGCTCCCAGTGCCGCAGCGCGTACGGCGACAGCGACACCTGAGGGAATCATTTATTACTTAGTTATTACATAATTAGTTCATATATTTATTTATTTATTTATTTTGGCTTTTCAACAATGAGTACACTATTAAAATTTAAAACACATAACCTAAATTACATGTATAAGTGCCCCATCACTTAAAGAAAAGCACTGCATCAGCTAAATAATTTGTATCTACGCAAAAAAAAAATGCAAATACTACCTACACTACAGTACAATCACAATATTTATGATCCATAATCTTTAAAAAACCACAATAATAGTCACCTGATAAGGAATCGGAGCTGTATATTTAATGTAAAAATGTAATCTGTAATGCTCACTCAACACAACTACTGCGACACAGGCCTGCGAGCCTAGTGCAAAAGCTGTGGTTCATTACATCACAGGAAATGATATTTGTGAATAAAGATTATTTATTTATTTATTATTTATTAGTATCCACTGCAGAAATACGACCGTCTCTGAGGTCATTACGGTTGTTGTTTAATATGTCGACTAATTTTGTACAAAAAACAACCAGCTCATTAATCCACCTAAGGGAATTTAGCACTTTAGTCTCCTCTGCAAAAGAACGACCCTCTCTAAGGCAATTACGATTTTTGTTTAATATATCGACTAATTTCGAAGTTAGTAGGGTGCAGTTGTCCGATATTAAAAAATATCTGACACTAAAACACATTGGTCCTTCGAGCCGGAATTTTCAAAAATCTCCACACCAACCATTACAGCTCCTATCACACCAGCCACTGACCCAGTCGCGCTCGAAGCCCACCAACATCAAACAACATAATGGTTCTTTGAGCCAGATTTTTTTATTAAAATAAATAAACAAAAAAAACACCACGCCCTATCAGCCACTGGAGCTGCTATCACAGCAGTTACTCCTAGTCACGCTCGTGGCCCACACATACAATATAATGGTCCTTCGAGCCGGATTTTTAACAAAATCTCAACACGCCAACATCAATTACTTACCCAAGTTACTCCTAGTCGCGCTCGTGGCCCACACAAACAACATAATGGTCCTTCGAGCCGGATATTTTTCACCAACTCCCTATCCACACTCACCCAGTCGCGCTCGTGGCCCACCAGCAGCGGCGGCACGGGCTGCGGCTCGCACAGGTCCTCGTTGCCGCGGCCGGCCAGGCGGTGGAACTGGCGCCACGTGAGCGGGCCCGTCACGCCGTCCCACATGCGAGCGCCGCAGCACCGCTTCTGGATCGCGTCTTGGAGCAGCGGCCGGAGGCGTCGCATCAATCTGGAAGTACATAAAACGTAATTAAAATTTCTTAGCAATTAGAGGCGCTTCTCATATACATTTAAAGTTAAAACATCTTGAAAAAAATCGAACCCACGACCTTTCTCTTGCCGGGCGACTGCTCTTCCAACTGAGCTACTTAGTCACTGGATGAATCCGTCGAAATTTTCAAGTGTAATAAGCTGTTACGGCCGCGTTTTATATCATCAATGTTGGGTAGTACTGGGTAGTGCATAAAACGGTTAACACAAGTCTACTATGCGTAGGCTGAGGGGTAAATAGTCGCTAAGCGTGAATTACTCTTTATTCTGCGAACGTGTTTAGCATATTTCGCGGAAAAACCACCTCAGTACTGATAAAATTCATACACGCAGTAAAAACAATTACAAAGTATATGCCGAACGAGCACCACTGGGTTCCTGAGACGATCAAGTAAACATAAACAGACACAGGTATATAAGGTATCGTATCTCACCTCACGACGTCTCTCGACGAGCGCGGCGCGCGCGCACCGATGAAGGGCCAGCGGTGCACCGCGCCCGCCGCGCCTGAGCCGCCACCCGCCGCCCGTAGCGCACGCGCCGCCGCCACACCGCCGTCAGAGTATCTGTAATAACACACATCTTGTAACATTTGCTTCCAATACCATGAGAGACAACTAAAATAGAAAGACAAATAAAATCATAACACGGTGTAAGTCTTAACGCGACGTTTATTAATGAGTTGACGTTTCGGCTGCTATGCTATAAACGTCGCGTTAAGATCAGTGTCTTCCTATTTTAGTTGAAATGGAACGCGAAAGTTTAAAATCTTATACAATGAGGGACACACTGCCGTAACATCGAAGTAACTATGTACACCAAACATACTGCCGTGCTAGCAATATCAGCAGTATCTCCAATGTTTTGCTGTTACAAAACACCTGTCAGCTCATCTGAAAAGCTTATTGTGGTTTTGCCAAAAAATGAAGTCATTGCTGATATTGCTAGCACGGAAACATGCGGAGTTTTATTTCTGTGACACATTTTTGGTTAATTTCTGTGATACAAATCGATGCAATATCACTCGCAAAACTGTTAGTTAATACTACTGAGATCACAAAGTTTAGTGGCACGGTGTTCTTCAGAGGGGAGCTTTCTATGCACTGATATTACTATAGCAGTGGGGCTACTCCCTCAAACATTATTCAAAATTTTGAAGGTATGAATCTCTCTTGTGCGATGCATATTGCTTCCATCTTGAACAACCGCTACAACCCGAAACGTTAGGGAAAGGCTCCTTAGCAGCCTGAAATCAAACACCTTGGTCCTTCGAGCCGGATTTTCAACGTGACTAAACAGGGCTGGTTACTTTGGTCCTTCAAGCCGGATTTTCAACGGGACTAAACAGGGCTGGTTACTTTGGTCCTTCGAGCCGGATTTTCAACGTGACTTAACAGGGCTGGTTACTTTGGTCCTTCGAGCCGGATTTTCAATGTGACTAAACCAGGCTGGTTACGCAGACTGTACTCACTCGAGCAGGTTGAGGCGCAGCTCGTCGGGCGGCGGCGGCTGCGCGGCGCGCTGGGCGGCGCGCGCGAGGGCGGAGGCGGCGCCGCCGGCGGGCGCGGCGCACTGCATGGGACGTGTGTGTGTGTACTCACTCGAGCAGGTTGAGGCGCAGCTCGTCGGGCGGCGGCGGCTGCGCGGCGCGCTGGGCGGCGCGCGCGAGGGCGGAGGCGGCGCCGCCGGCGGGCGCGGCGCACTGCATGGCCACCACGCCCGCCACGTCCGCCAGCCGCCCGCCCCCGCGCGCGCCGCCCGCCCCGAGCGCCCCTCCCGGTTCTGGCGCCAGACCCGTGATCTCCATTTCGTCCTGAAAGAGAAAAAAGAGTTTAGAAGACTGGATTGAAACCCAAATTAAATAACAACAATTTGTAGACAAATTTACACAAAACGGTAGAATATTTGTTACAAATTCGTGACAGATATTTCAAAATTGTCTAAATACAAATATTTAATTTTCTTTCAATGTCACTCGACTCAGGAGACTGGACGGGAAATTGAGCAGTCACGGTTGGGCACCGCAATAAAAACTGCAAGACATCTGAATGGTGACAGAGTGTATATCTGTTACACACTCATCATCAGGGCAAGCAGGAAGGCAGAGCTGGAGAATGCCACCGCCAATCATCTCGGCTGGAATCTGCGATCCCACATACACATTACAAAGCCCCACTCGTCTGTAGACGATATAAGGTGATTCGTCAGCTGCCCACCTGCAGGTGACATAAGGTGGTTAGTTAACCGACCACCAACCAACATCAACGTACCTCGTAGAAGAGGCCGGCGGTGTGCGCGCGGCGGCGGTTGACGACGGCGCTGAAGCCGCACGTGCAGCGCGCCGGCTCGTCGTCGGCGGCGCCGGGCGACGCGCCCGCGTCCCAGCGCGGCACGCCCGAGCAGCCCGCCAGGTACGTGGCCGCGTCCGCGCCGCGGATGTTGCCCACCACCTGGTACATAAGACAACTTGTTACCAACACTATCAACTGAAGTCCGGTCGCCGAGCAGATACAATTTCATCCAATGACCCCAAGCTACCCATCCTTATAGCTCACACGAATTATATTGCTGTCACGACTGTGCGACGGGCGGACGCAGTGAGTGTGTTCGACGACCGGACTTTATCAGACTTCTAAATTAAAAACACAAGCTGTTAAGAGTAAAAATTTAGTCACCATAATGTATTTTTACTGGCAAAAACTTTTCAGACAACAGTAAAAGGCTGGGGAAGACTTAAGGAATGTTTATGATTACTCTTTTGTGCTGTTTATTATCCAAAGTAACAGAAGACATGATCACAATCATTGCAACGTAACGTATCTTTTGGTCTTGTCACCATTGCATGCATTACTTGTTTGTGAAAAGATGTGTTGTTGGTAGATCTTTGTCAATAATAAATAAACGTAAATGATTTGACTAAAATACTGTTTTCTTTTTTCATCAGTGTGCAATGTTTGATATGAGTATCAATTAGCTGTAGCACAGTAATTTCATTTCTCACCTTGGGCCCCGCGTTGCAAACACACAGCGTGCAGCTATCAAAGTTATGATCTCGGAACACGTTGAGCACGGTATCAGCCAACAGCACGTTGACCAGCAGCGGGCAGGCGGCGTGAGCGGGCGCGGGCGCGGGTTCAGGCGCGGTCGCGGGCACGGGCGCGGGCGCGGGCGACGCCGCCACGCCCGGGCCGGCCGCGCCCGCCGCCGCTGGCGTCGCGCTGCCCGAGCCGCGACGCCCTCGGTTGGATTCCCGCGACTCGCTTGATGGTGACGCGCTGCGTTTTACGCCCGCTGCGAATGAGAGGAACGGGTTAAAACGACATGAGATGTAGGCGTATAGGCATTGATAACTATTACTTAACGGTTCCTGTGCTATATCCGTTGAGTACCAAAATCAAGTCCTACTACATTACAATTGTAAAATCATTTTAGAGAAGTACAACTTGACTTAAGTAGCAGGATGGCACTGGATGCTGACCGCTACCAACCGGCCAGTATGGAAAACTTGGGAGAGGCCTGTGTTCAGCAGTGGACGTCCTATGGCTAAAATAACAGTAATAATAACAGCTAAAATAGCAGTAACAGTGATGCATAGTATTTTATGTCAGCTAACACCATTTCGAATTGCTCTAACTGACCTTCAGCGAGCTGGGCAAGGTTGAAAAACAGCGCAGCCCGGGATTGTTCTCGAGGCAGCTTGAGCTGAACCTCATGGCCTATTGTTTCCTGCATTTAATTTACTCTAGTTTTAATTTTAATTGTAACTTTGAAATTTTGGTTGTAGGAAATAATAAACAATTTTTATTATTTATTATTATAACTACACTCAGCATCAAATAAATCGCACCTCCCGCGACAAGCACTTATCAAACGTATGCATCCCCACTTCCCACCAACATTGGTACCATTTGAAAGCCTAGTTCTAAACTTCATTTCATTAAAGGAAAGGTTTTTACCCCAAAAATGGGTCTTTACAAGGATCCAGAGTCACTTCTTCAAAAAATAGGTAGTTACGCTATAGCCATTTTTTATGACTATAAAACTGTTAAGTTGGGATTAATCGCTATCCATCTGTTAAAGAGGACACGTGAGATCTTTATTTGGTTTTATAACCATAAAAATTGGTCTAATTGATCCCAGAGGTGAGCCCAAAGTGAGGTCTATTTTCAAGTCACATTTATGGTATATGTTAATCATTTATTTAGAAATGAAATGTATTTTTCTTTAAGGATATTTATTGGGCTTTCAAATAACACCAATATTGTTGGGCACCAAAGCTGTAGCACCACTGTGCGTCGAGTATTTGAGATCTAAAATTCATCGACGATTCATACATTTTTTGTTCAAAATCAAAAATGTCGGCCAATAAAAAAAAAGTGCTGTATTCTGACAGAATACGTCCGCCTTAGCATTTGTTACTATGGCACCAAAGCTGTAGCACCACTGTGCGTCGAGTATTTGAGATCTAAAATTCATCGACGATTCATACATTTTTTGTTCAAAATCAAAAATGTCGGCCAATAAAAAAAAAGTGCTGTATTCTGACAGAATACGTCCGCCTTAGCATTTGTTACTATGACACCAAAGCTGTAGCACCACTGTGCGTCGTAGTATTTGAGATCAAAGTCAGTCGTTTCATATATTTTTAGAACTCAAATACTACGATGCACAGTGGTGCTACAGCTTTGGTACCATAGTAATAAATGCTAAGGCGGACGTATTCTATCAGAATACAGCACTTTTATTTTTTGGCCGCCACTTTTGATTTTGGACCAAAATGGATGATGTCCTTTATCTGAATGGTGAATGGAGTTCGTGAAAAGTTGATGACGTAACCAACCAAGCACAAAATTTCCTTCGATGAACTTTTACCTTTATTTGTTCAATATAAGGTACAAAATAGACTCACCCCGCTCGGCGTCGGCGCGGCGCTCGGCGCGCGGGCGGTACACAGCATTGGGCGGCAGCGTGAGCGGCGGCAGCAGCTGGCTGGGCAGCTGCGTCAGCGGCGCGTACTTCGACGAGCCCACGTACTTGTACAGCGTCGGCGGCTTGAACACGTACGACCAGTCCTGCGCAACGGAAACAAAGTTAAATGACGTCGCATATTTAGGAACGAATTAGATTTTAATGTTATAGGTCTTAAGCCGTTTTTCCAGCGCGTGTTTTGCCCTACACAATCAATAAATACATGTCAACATTCAACAAAATTGTCTCCAAAAATGTTTTAATGTTGAGATGTTTTTGTTGATTGTGTAGGGAAAAACACGCGCTGGAGACCCGGTTATAATATTTTTTAAAAATCTTCGGTAGGCGGGGAATTCTACATAACTCGTAGAACTGATGACTGCTGGGTCACAAAAGTTCTCTAGTGGCGACCATGGACCGGAAGACGTAGTATAGGCAAGCCTCCCATTCCGTAATCCGACGATCTTGTCAAGGTCGCAGGAAACTACACTGACAGTAATAGACGACATAGGTTTGAAACGAATCAACGATGTACTCGACTATTTCGACTACAGATTCACTAATATGGGTGGTAGGCGGGGCTTTTTTATGTGATAGGAGGCAAACGAGCAGACGGGTCACCTGATGGTAAGTGATTACCGTCGCCCATAGACACCCGCAGACCCAGGGGCGTTACAGGACGTTGAAGATACGCTCTCTTCTTGAAAGCTTGCAGGTCGTATCCGTCCGGAAACACCGCAGACAACAGTCCATTCCACAGTTTGGTTGTACGGGGTAGGAAGTTTCTAGAGAAAGGTACTGTTGTGGACTGCCAACCATCTAAGAACTACGTAAGGGCTACGTATCGGGTGGAGACGGAGGTGACTCGGTGGGAGCGGAGTGAGCCGGGCCAGCTGTGTACTCGCCTCGATGGGGTCGGGCGGCGGGCTGCCGCCGGGCTGGTGCGGCGCGGGCGCGTCGTCGGGCAGCGTGAAGCCGGGCGAGGGCTGCGCGTGCGCCTCATGCTCTGTGAGCCGGGCCAGCTGTGTACTCGCCTCGATGGGGTCGGGCGGCGGGCTGCCGCCGGGCTGGTGCGGCGCGGGCGCGTCGTCGGGCAGCGTGAAGCCGGGCGAGGGCTGCGCGTGCGCCTCCATGCTGGGCGGCGTGGGGAACATCTTGCTGAGCTCCTCGGCGCGCACGCAGCGCCCGCCGGCGCAGCGCGACTCCTCCGCCGACTTGTTGGAGTCCGGCGGCGTTTGTACTTGCAGCTGGGGGCGAGGGAATGACGGTTGAGTCAACACTAGAACTTGTGGAGCCAATCTATTGAGTCTATGTTTCACATAGCTTATTGTTAGGTCGGCATATTACACAAGAAAGACTCCAAGAAACAATAAGCGTTTTTGCAAATATGTAAATTAAACTGGGTTGCACCATTTTACAAACGTCAAAAATCTGTCAAATTCCAAAATACACTGGTTATCGTTATAGTTACGGTTAAAGTTTGGTGGTGCAACTCGGCCTTAGTAAGTTAATAATAGCCTCAAACCATATCAATAATACCAGAACCACAAAAGAAGACAACCATTTTCTGACACACTGAAGTCATAGGCAATAAGAACCATTTCCCCACACAAAGACAGAAATCACAGACAAAGAGAATGAGAAGTATAACATATAAGGAGTATAAAGGGGCACACTCACAAGTCTTACCGTCTCATCGCCGCTGTTGGCGTCGTCGGAGTTGTCGAAGATCTGCTCCAGGTCCTTGAGCGTGGGGCACAGTCCGTCCGACGTGAACAGGTTCTTGTACTCTTTTACGTCCTCCTGCACAGGAAATAATGCATGAGCCTCACGGGTATCTACTTTTAAAAAAAAAAGAAACTATCAATGAGATTTTTGAAAGATGCTGGGAATAAAAACTGACAGCATGCGCCGCCATTAAAAATAAACACGAAGTCGGTTAAAAAGTACAAAATTACAGAGTGTTAGCGACACGTCGACGCGCGGTCGCGTCCGTGTTCCGGCGAGAACTGACAGCGGGAATGCGGGGTGAAGGGAAGGGAGAGGACCATGGCATTGCCGTTTCGGCGGATGTGGTAACCCCATAGCCTGCTCTGTCGTTCGCTCGCAGTCAACTAAGTATGAGTCGTGAACATTGTTCCGTAACTTTGTGAATATAGTACACAGAAGTGTGTCACGTGTGAACCACGAGCTGTCAAACGAAACCGATTTTAGAATGTCACCGGATGTCAATTTTGTGTTAGTTTTCAGCGTGCCAATGAATGCTAACGACATTTCGTTTTAATTGCAAAAAATCGTTCTGTAACATCGCATAACGTATCACTTTTTATCACACAGTGTTGTTAAAAGTTTGCTGTTAAATCTCGCTCGCTCAGTCCTTTCTTGCTTATTCCGCTAGGTATATAACTTTATGGTGTGAACTCACGTGGTCCACCTTCTCCTGCTTGACGTCGATCGGCGCGGGCATGGCGGCCATGCTGGTGTGGTCGTGCCCGGCGTACAGGTCAGCTCCCAGCGCTGCGCCCAGCGCCAGCTCCTCGCGGAATAGCGGCGTCTCCGTCTTGAACCGCTTCACTGGGTGGTCCAGCCTGAGAGGAGATCAAGGTTAGAGAGGCACGTGGTTGGTTTGATACACATTGGGAAAGATATCTTGGGATACAAAGTCGTCGCCAGATATTTAACGAAATACTATGTGTATAAAGTTCAGATAGAATTTCGTCCAATAACCTCAAGCTACCCATTCTTATAGCTCGCGCGTAATTATATTGCTGTCGCGACTGTGAGACGGGCGGCCGCAGTGAGTGTAGCTTGGGGTCATTGGACGAAATTCTATGTGCTCGGCGACCGGACTTTAGCCTAGTGATTCCGGCAGAGTAAAATTTTAACACCCGCAGTTTTTATGTTGATGGAGAAATATGCGAACATCAGGATTCCCCAACACGTGTGGCCAGCGGGAGTACTGTGCTTACCACCACCACGATCTCTAGAAGAACTCTTAAGTCTTGTCGTCTACGTTTTACACAATAACCACTAGTCTCGAATGACATTATTGCGCTAAACACGTGCACTGTATACTGTAGCGAATTAAGATGCACGCCCACAAGGCTCAATATGAAATTGGGCGTGGCCGTGACCTCGCATGTTACATCACGTTTACCTCTAGAACACAAGTTTAGAAAAGAAGAGACTTAACAAATATGTCAACAATGTCAACGTGAAATTGTGAACTCCGTCAGTTTATAATAAAACGTGTGAGATTGTAAACTAATATTTTAAACTATTATGTTGCATTTTTTACTACAAAATTATCACTCCACGGGATTTTACAACAAAATGACTGCCCGCGACCATGACTCGTGCAACCGAGTTGAAACGTCGGGAGGGTAAAATTATCTTATTTACCGTAAAGTTTTGTTGTAAAATCCCGTGGAGTGAGAATTTTATTGTAAACTAAGTCGGTTAGGTAAGATAGTAACTACGTCAGTACGCTATAAGCGTCGTAAAATGGTGTCGTCCTACGTTGAACACAACAATCATTAGTCTCGCATGACACTGCTGCGCTGTAAGACGTGTTATGTATACTGTAGCGAATTACGACGCACGCCCGCAAGGCTTAATATCATAGTGGGCGTGCCCGTGCCCTCGCATGAATAAAATGGAAATTACATATTATGCTCATGTCTGGGAATCGAGTTTTCAAGAGACGAGAGACTTTTAATAACAGAGTAGTGACGTTATTATGACTTACAAACGTTTTTAGTCAGTAGTTTCTGGACATCACGCTTTAGCTTTGCTGTAGTTACCGGTTCGAGAGTTACAAAAATACCGGTTCTCAATGCATGCTCAATGTTCAAATGCTCAAATGCTCAATGCATGATGTAGCCTGTAAGCCAAGCCATCAACTACCTAGGATAAAAAAGGCTAGAGGTACAAGTGAAATCCGCAGTGGGTAACCGCGTATCTGACTGCACCAGATAGTCTGGCAACAGGGAGAGATGACGGGAGATCGTGTATCCGCCGCACAACCGACGTGAACGCCTGAACGTGACCACGACCGCTCTACCGCTGAGTGACTGTGGGAGCACTGACCAGGCGAGCACGGTGCTGTAGTCGTAGAGCATGTGCAGCGAGTGCTCGTCCTCGGCGGGGTCGAGGCGGCGCGAGGGCGAGGCAGCGCCGGGAGTGACTGTGGGAGCACTGACCAGGCGAGCACGGTGCTGTAGTCGTAGAGCATGTGCAGCGAGTGCTCGTCCTCGGCGGGGTCGAGGCGGCGCGAGGGCGAGGCAGCGCCGGGAGTGACTGTGGGAGCACTGACCAGGCGAGCACGGTGCTGTAGTCGTAGAGCATGTGCAGCGAGTGCTCGTCCTCGGCGGGGTCGAGGCGGCGCGAGGGCGAGGCAGCGCCGGGAGTGACTGTGGGAGCACTGACCAGGCGAGCACGGTGCTGTAGTCGTAGAGCATGTGCAGCGAGTGCTCGTCCTCGGCGGGGTCGAGGCGGCGCGAGGGCGAGGCAGCGCCGGGAGTGACTGTGGGAGCACTGACCAGGCGAGCACGGTGCTGTAGTCGTAGAGCATGTGCAGCGAGTGCTCGTCCTCGGCGGGGTCGAGGCGGCGCGAGGGCGAGGCAGCGCCGGGAGTGACTGTGGGAGCACTGACCAGGCGAGCACGGTGCTGTAGTCGTAGAGCATGTGCAGCGAGTGCTCGTCCTCGGCGGGGTCGAGGCGGCGCGAGGGCGAGGCAGCGCCGGGAGTGACTGTGGGAGCACTGACCAGGCGAGCACGGTGCTGTAGTCGTAGAGCATGTGCAGCGAGTGCTCGTCCTCGGCGGGGTCGAGGCGGCGCGAGGGCGAGGCAGCGCCGGGAGTGACTGTGGGAGCACTGACCAGGCGAGCACGGTGCTGTAGTCGTAGAGCATGTGCAGCGAGTGCTCGTCCTCGGCGGGGTCGAGGCGGCGCGAGGGCGAGGCAAGCGCCGGCCGCCGCGACAGCTCGGCCGCGCACTCGCCGCCGCCCGGGTGCGGGACGCAGGTGCCAGCTGATGGAGACTCCTGTAGGGTGACGGGAATATAAATAAGTATAGTGGCTCTCTATGAGGCCTACTATGCAATACAGCGACGCGAGCACGATGTTGGTGAACCGTCGACAGTGTTTCATAGTATTCGTAACCCACGGGCCTCACACATCGCGATAACATGGGGCGACAGCGGAACGAAGTCTTGTGTCTATGCAAAAAAGCACCGAAGTATACGCTAATACTTGGCTACACACATCGCGACAGCGCGAATCTTCGGGTTATAGCGATGTGTGTAGCCTAGGGGTAACTGCAAGCAAGTGACACCAAACGTCTAACGGGTCTATCAACCGATGCCTCCATGAACAGTAGGCCTCAGGCTTCATGCCAATACATAATTAAAATACGTATGGATAGTCTATGATTGATAAAATATCTCGATAAATTTACATTATGGTGCACCTCTTATAATGGACCCCAAAATTAATAATGTCAAGACCCAACTTTCAGTTTTACGTATTGACGTAACATGTGTTAACTGCATACAGCATAACCACTAAGGTGTTGCATATGCGGCGGGGTCACTGACCTGCTTGGGCGGCGGCGCGGAGGGCGGCGCGGGCGTGGGCGGCGCGTGCGGGTCGGGCGTAGGCGCCGGCGTGTGCAGCGTCGTAGGCATCGCGTTACCGCTCTGTACAATGTACACAAACTGAATTAGATTTGCGATTTAATAAACTTCACAAAGTTTGAACTATACGACTAACACTTTTCATTCTTCGCTATGGATTAAGTGTATAGAGTCTATAGAGCAACGGTTCCCAAACTTTTTAGTCTACTGCCCACTTTGAGAATAAATTATTTTTTAGCGCCCCCCATTTTTGTAGTCAAGAGTCGAGCTCAGTCGGTGTCTAAGAGTCCTCCTAGTAGATGATGCCTTCCAAGCCTCTACACAACGTCCCGATTTTTTTTCTGAGTCTCTTACCGCCCCCCTTTAAGCCTGCAGCGCCCACAAGGGGGCGTTATCGCCCACTTTGGGAAAGACTGCTATAGAGCAACAATACTGCAAATAGAACACTAAAACTCGATTTTCAATTAGTCTGCCGCTATACGCAGTAAGAAACTAATGCCCGTTATAATAAGAGCGATATGACAATGCCCGTTTTCACCATCAATTAATAGTCAAACGAACTTACCTGTACGTGAAGTTCGACTGTAATTATGCGAAGTTGTTGTCTCGTCCGAAGATGATGAAAGATAACTAGTGTAGTCCCGGCTTACATCCTCTGGCGTCACACAATTTTAAAGCTAAAATAAAATATTTCTGAACGCAGTCGTACCTAGGTCCCACCACGCCATCTATACCTGTCAACTCATTCAAGTTTAAAGTAATTAGGTTTAATTTTACAACTGGGGCGTTTTGTAATTACTTACTCTTAATTATTACAATAACCAAGGGTTTGGGTGGGACTCATCATCTTCGGACGAGACAACAACTTCGCATAATTACAGTCGAACTTCACGTACAGGTAAGTTCGTTTGACTATTAATTATGCTCGTTGTTGTCTCGTCCTCGATGATGAAAGATAACTAGTGTAGATGTTCAAAGATAAAAGTTGTAAAATTAAACAATGATCGCCGCTATTTTCCTTACAGTTCGTCTCCGAGTCCTACATCCATTAGGAATTGCAGTATCTTTTGGGAGGCGATATGTTTTACATCTTGTGGGCTTAGGATGTGTTTGCCCAGGTGTAAGCTCCGCTTGCGCATCAAAGGTCCGCAGCCGTGAGAATGTGTGGTGGCGTTTCATCTACCTCTTGGCACATCCTGCGCGTTCTTGATTCGGACAGTCCCATAGTGGACAAGTGCTTGTTTAAGCTGCAGTGTCCAGTGAGGACTCGAACTAAGATGCGCATTTTGATCCTACTCAGTCCTATGATCTGCTTAGAGCATTTTCGGTCATAGGCTTTTATGAGAGCTTTGGAATGAGTTAATCCTGGCGTGTCTGACCATGCCTAAAGGATTTGTTTAAATAGATGTAGGGTCATTCAAGCGAGACTTTTGGGAATGCCACAAAAGGGTTCTGGACCATATTGTGTTCCCTCCGCTCGTCGCTTAGTTCGTCGGCATTTTCATTGCCACGATTCCCGCGTGACCTGGAACCCATTTCAGCGTTACTCTGTTTCGTTCTCCTAGGGTTTTTAGTCGACTCATGCAGTTTTCTACTAACTTTGAGGTGATTAAGTTGGAGTTTAAGGCCATCAGCGCGGCCTGACTATCTGAGTTAATGTAAATGGTTGGCATAATTTTATCGCAACTTAATTCCGTTGATATACTAATAAATTGATTGAATAACTCAATACTAACTATATTAACAGTTAATCAAGTACATTATTCAAGTTGTTGCTTGGTCTAGTAAATAATTGAACGCGAGAGGCGTTGGTCCCTCTTGCTGTCAAGAAAAAAATCCCCGCCTTCGTCTGGCAGACAACCCACACTATTGGACTATACTTTAAGCGAATCACACACACAGAGTTTGGCAAATATGTCTCGGAATGCAAATGGGAACCACAACCTCTGGAAGGCAACAAAGTACCTCCCTCAAAGTGTTCTCCGCTTATTAGGTCCGATAATACATGAGTGCGAACTGACAAGAAAAATCTCAGACCTTTGCTACATAACAAGCCGGTTTATTTAAACCCATTGACACGGATAATCCAAAAAATCCACAATTCAATTTAAAAAAATAAGATCAAGCATTGAACTTGATCCGAGACTTGCAGCTATGATGCCTGCCTTTGATTCATCCGACCGATTTTGGTCATGGTAACCACTTCGACTTAGCTGTCTTAGCGGCGCTGGTGCGCCCGAAGATGACTTACCTAGCCGATATTTGCGGCAAACTCCTCGCACATTGAGAGTTTTACATCATCGGTTTTACGTCGAGTTCAGTTGTGCGCTACTCCTTGAATTCGCGGCCTCGCCTCTACACAACACAATCTCCCGCCATTCTAGGTGCTGTGCTGCCAAACCTTCCCATTGTGATTTGAGAGGGCCCATTTTGCATCTTTTCGTATGCTGCTTCTGGACATCTTTGTACTTGACTATCTGAGGAGTTGACCACCATGTTTCCGCTTACCCTCCTCAAGTTCAAAAAAGAATATTGATTCCTACTACGCTAATTGAGGACGAAAGACGCAGGAGGACAATGACTGACGTAGCCCACAGGTCGCTAAAATCAAGTGGCAGTGGGCGGGGCACATATCTCGTAGAGCTGATGGCCGCTGGGGTAGTAAAGTTCTTGAGTGGCAACCACGAGCCGAAAGACGTAGCGTGGGCAGGCCTCCTACTAGGTGGACCGACGATTTGGGGAAGGTCGCAGGAAGTGCCTGGATGCGAGCGGCGCAGGACGTCTTTCGGCTGAAACAAAAGAACTAACGCTAAGAGAGATGGCTAAACTAAAGAAATAGCAAAAACCCTCGTAAAGCACTTGCATTTGATCTGATCACCATGAAGTCCATGGTATTGACAATGACCACACTGAGTGAGAACCTCGCAAGTCTCTTAACTTTGGAAATGATCCATAAGACTGGCAAGTCGCCTAACGAATTCTCTTATCGCTCAATTAGTCTGACATTTGTATTGTTAAAATTATGGAAAAGAATCATTCTTGCTCGTTTATTCCCTTGCCTAAGTATGACCGACCAATATAGTATATCCGAGCATAAATTTTGGCAGAATCCATACCAACCATAATCAGTACAATGTTTGGAAAAGAAAGAATCCTGTACGTCTGCTTTCGCTGCGGCTTCAGTCGGGTTTATCATAAAGGACTACTCTATGAAATTAAAAGGTACCTTCTAGCACACTTCTACTACCTGCTGATGGATTCTTATCTCAGTGACAGACAGTTTAAAATCAAACTCGGTGACAAAATCTTCTCTTTTTAGCTGCAGAGCTGGAGTACCCCAGGACTCTGTACTTGGTCCGATACTCTATAACATCTACTAGTAAAGTAGCCCAGACACCAGAAAGCTGCGGCCTTCCTCAAATGTAACTGTGATCTTAAAGGGACTAGACTGTTGCAAAGTCAGCTGATTGGCTGACCAAGTGGCGCATGTAATTAAGCCTCGAAGTCTCACCATATTATCATTTAAGACGTGAAACGTATCCTCCGGCCAATCTAGACCTCGACCCATTGCTGCAATCAACCTACATTAACATCCTGGACCGTAGGATAACATAGAAAGACCATAAATATAAATAAAACAGAACTGAATATAATATTCCACCAACAGTCAGCTAATCAAACATTAACTATGTGCCTCCAAAGAGCTCAAAAATACATGTTAAGGGTACTTTTATCTGCACATTGGTACGCTCGCCTTTAGGAAATACACGAGAACCTGATCTCAGCCAAACCCGCTATCCAAGTATCAAAGTATCTATGATCAAGAGAGCTAATTTACTATGATAAACCACTGCTCTAGTGGCTCAAACCCCAACCAACTGCAAATCACCTGATTAGTCTTGACGACAGATACTAAAAAAGCAGATTTGAAAAAAATACCCAATGAACAATGGTCAAACAAGGTCACGCCGCCGACGCCGCCGCCGCCGAGGTCAAAAAGTCGGCGCGCCGCCGCCGGCCAATTGTATATCGGCGCCCACCTCTACTCTAGATTGAAACTGAACAATGGTTATTATTTGTGATTTACCTAACATTACATAATTAATTTATATACATATGTCGATGACACGTTGAGGATGTTTCAGCTGTAATATTATGAAAATGACATAATCAAAGATCAGTGCAAGCACCTAAATACAAATTCATACAACGAATTATATTATTTCCTTAAATTAGGCTGCCTACTACATTTTAAGACAAAATAAAAGATCATAGTACCTGTCTACGTATAATATTAATCTTGATTTTGGGTAGTGAAAGATACCTCTATAGAATACCTACAGAAATCTATTATTTTGTAGCCCAAATACGATAACGACATGACCATGCGAAATTCTTTCAATCTTAAATTATTGTAAGTTTGAAACTCCACAACCCACTAAAAAGACTTAAATTCCACGAACTTAAAAGTAATATTCAAAATAAATCGTAAAATAACATAATTTTATCGCTCGCAAATTGCCGATTCAAAAAGAGTCAAGTTCAAGGCGCGTTTCATGCGCGTACGCAGCCGTTGACGCACAATGTGTCAATTATTTTGATTTTATGGCTTATTCTCTTATTTGCTAACAATCCTATTAAATAAAGACCATGCTGCTAAAACAGATGTTATTATTAATGAAATAATAAACTATGTTTTTTTTTTGTTATTTCAGCGTATGACAGTCTACTGTGGAATTTATGAACGTTGCGGTTTAAAATTATCTTCTCTTGGTTACAATGTAAAGGTATAAAATATAACTGTTTTGTAAGTTTAATTTCACTATTTAATTTAATTGTATTACAATAATTTAATTGTATTAAATAATTTAACATTACATTTTGGATCAACGCATTACAGGAAATTATATTAATTTTAACATATTTTTTGTCAGTGATTTATCATTTTATGACAAATATGTACTAAATAAATTTCGTATGACTCAATATGTTTTTGCATCACTCTTCTGTCTCTAAAAATAAATCTTTTTTGAAATTACTATTCAAATTTTTTTTTAGAATCAATAAATTCAGGAGTGCTATTGATTGTACTGTCCGTAGCAGATGTTCATGACATAAGCACGGCCTTAATCAAGTACTTTTGTAAGTGCATTTATATGTTATTTATGTGTATCAGCTATCTTATCGCTATTGTACAGGTTCTAGTTAGGTTTAAGAATAGGAATAATTTATTAATTTATGCCTTTAAATAGCTATATTTGAATAAGTATTATGCAAAGTTTGCTCTATGGGTTCCACGCAACATTACTTTTTTGTAATTAAAGCATACACTTACACAGAGCAAACAAACAGATAATATGTTTATTATACACGTTTGTATTGTGCATACATTATACAGAGTGGAAACGAAAAGTGATCACACACGATTATTTCTAAACTATAAAAGATACCGAAAAACTGGTAATTGATCCTGAAAATGCTTTACGAGCTCTTTCAAACGGTGTAATAGGTTACGGAATAAACTTAATCTGTCAAATAAAAAACAATGTTTCCAGCTCTACAAAAACCGAAACCGTTAATATAATATTCGCACGCCATTCCCGATTTCATTTTTGATTGATGCCTAGTCAAGGCAAAAAACCACCAAATCTATACATAAAAAGCGGTCTGTCAGTACGGTAAGCGACCTGCCCCAACGCACCGCTTGCGCACGCGTCTGTGTGAGTTGCGTTTGTGTGAGCACAGGACGCGGTGGTATTTTGAGATGTAACGTACCGTTGGACGCGCAAGAGTCCTTGGAATTTGAGAAATAAAGCAATTATGAGTTCTTTATTAGATTTTTTATGGTCCGAGTTAGATAAGTTATTAATTTTGTTAAAATACGAAAGTATATAGTCTTTCCCGAAGACTATAATACGGGCCTTTTCAAGGCGAGAGTAAATAGGCACTTACAGGGCAGATGTACCATTCTAGACTGCATCCCACTTAACATCAGGTGCGATCGTGGTCAAATAACTGCCTTGTTATGCATAAAAAAAAGCTTCTGTTGTTTTATCCGTAAGTAGAGTTATTTAGAAGAGTTGCATTTACTTTGATAAATCATATTACAGCTGAGAAAAATAAACAGGTAAAATCGTCAAAAACTCAACTTACCTAGGTAGTAGCTGTTTAATTTATTTAGTAATTGATGAAACTAAAAAATTCGTTTTCGTTGTAACACTGTAAGGTATCTATCATCAGAAAAAACTAATAATTAAGTAAAATATTTGTGATTGACTGTTATTGTGAGCATAGACGAATTTAACTGTTTAGGAAAGCTCGTTCACCTTTGTAATTGATTTCTGACTGAAGATTTGGAAACAAGATTGCAATTTTAGCTCGTACCTATAAAACTACACTGAAGTTTGAATTTACACTTTAAAACATACCAGTAATTAATAGTCAAACGAACTTACCTGTACGTGAAGTTCGACTGTAATTATGCGAAGTTGTTGTCTCGTCCGAAGATGATGAAAGATAACTAGTGTAGTCCCGGCTTACATCCTCTGGCGTCACACAATTTTAAAGCTAAAATAAAATATTTCTGAACGCAGTCGTACCTAGGTCCCACCACGCCATCTATACCTGTCAACTCATTCAAGTTTAAAGTAATTAGGTTTAATTTTACAACTGGGGCGTTTTGTAATTACTTACTCTTAATTATTACAATAACCAAGGGTTTGGGTGGGACTCATCATCTTCGGACGAGACAACAACTTCGCATAATTACAGTCGAACTTCACGTACAGGTAAGTTCGTTTGACTATTAATTATGCTCGTTGTTGTCTCGTCCTCGATGATGAAAGATAACTAGTGTAGATGTTCAAAGATAAAAGTTGTAAAATTAAACAAACATGTTCAAATTGTAAAATTAAACAAACATGTTCAAATAAAAAAAGTATTGTTTTATTCAAAGTTTCATTAATTAGTAACTATTACCCTTAACACTACTTAATCAGACATATTTTTCTTATGAGCTAAATAGCATTCATATAAAATTATTAATTTCTAAAAATTTTCACTGCAAAGTAACTATTATTTATAATGAGTCTATTGTAACACCTTCAAAATACTGTTTGTGGATTCCCCAGACCAAGCAGCTGTTCTCCGTATAACATCAATATTATCACTTTTTTTTTTTTAAACATTTCAGATGTTGTAGCGTGCCTAATGCTTTGAATGTATGGTAAAGATTGATGTGTCTATACCACTTTCTGTCATGCACTTCTCTATCCAACAGCTGATTGTGCTGGAGGAAACCTTTTTGTCTGGTTTTCTAAGATGTTTTATTGCACCAAACTAATCACTAAGTGCTTGAGCAGGACAGATCTCTACTTTATCCCTAAAGAAATGTAATGTAAATGGCTGACACGTATCAGACTTGACCAGAGGTCTTTATTAATTTTAATTTAATTTATCAATTTTAATTGTTACACAATCATCCTTAATAACTATGTTGTTTATTTCAATTAAATTTAATGTTCGCATTCTTTGACATGTGGCTAAAATTACAATATAGCAGTCTATTTTTATATTCCATTTCAATACCTATACTTAAGAANTTTAAGAACTGTGGATACATCTCATGTATCATTATATTTAGGAGCACTAGGTCTTAACTTAAAGAATCCTTTAAACAATCTTTTGATATTTTCATCTGTTTCGTCGAGGTGAGTACCTATAAAATTAATGACAATGCTGATCTAATATAATTCAAACTACCTTATGACAATACCTCATAAAAGTTTTTAGTTAAATAAGTAATAACATCTGGAAAGCTTGGCTTATTTGTTGATAGCCATAATTCTTGTGCATACTTAGTCCATGCTACAATACATGGTTGGTATTGTTTTAATGTATTAACAGATATAGACACTGACATGATCTCGGATCTCATAATCTCACTGATTCCAGATTTTATGAAGGCCTGCCTGATAATACTCCTGCCATCAGTCTAGGTTCTTGTGCACAGGGTGTGGTTCTTTAGAATTTTGTAATATAAGTAAATCTTTAGTAAGTTTCAAAATTGATGGTTTGTGAACTAGCTATCTCATGAACATAATATGGTGTTCCAATATGGAACTACCCCTATGCCCTTTATCTGAAAACTATTTTTTCCACGGTTTTAAGGATCATGTTGGAAATTAATATGAAACTTCAGTTGATATCAACAAAGTGTAAATGCATCAATTGCAAATGCATCCAGGTCAGGACGCGGTGATACAAAACAATGACATTTCTTGTTAGTCTTTATTGCGAAGATCATGGTTCTCAAAACCAAGCCGTCGCCAAAATAAAAGAAGAAGAAGAAGAGATCTATGGATGGTGTTCCTAAGGTTGAAGTTATTTGTTCAAAATGTAATTAATTTCCCACTCTATGTTACCTGGTGGTTTCCTTGATTCAAAAAACTGCAATTACATTAATTTTGGTGTTTATGTACATAAACTGATTATAAATATCTCTTAATTCACACCATTGCCATATTTGTTTTGCAAGGCTATGTAAATGTAGATATTGAATACCACCTAGTCTGTTTATACATATGGATAGCAGTAACATTGTCTATTCTAAGAAGTATTTGGTATTTTGTTAACTTTGATGCAAAGCAGACAGGCAGCTTTTAACTCAAGAGCATTTATATGAGAGCCTAGTTTGTCCTCTGACCATACTACGCCTGTAAGACTTGTACCACATGAAGCTCCCCATACTGTCATAGAAGCATCACTAAATATCTCGGATATTTAAGTATTTTTTCTAATAGTATTCTTAGATTCATTTACACTATTGCTCCGCCATGTCAAGTCCTCTCTACATTGATTGTGAAAAGAAAGTATTCATTTTTATCATTATACTTTTTAACTGCAAGAAATTTTAGTTAATTATTTGGTGTATAAAATACCATATTTTATGGCTAGACATATAGCTTCAAGCTTACTTGGCACATGAACTTATTGTGAACATCACCTTTGACTATAACTCTTTAATCAATTTAAAGAATTTACTTTCTTTTAGTTAGATAATATACATTAATGTCACTTGTACTGTATTAAAGAAACCTTACTGAAGTTAACGTTACTGTTTGAGAATCAGATCACACTTTTCTTTGTTAACAATAAAACTTTATGTGGATAAGATCTAAAATCATGTTCATATTATTAAAACATAATATAGTCTTTACCAATACCCGGATAATTGTCAATTATAAATAATTGAAATGCAACTTTTCTCTCATAGAGCAGCTGTAATTTGCTGTAATTTTCTAAAGTCCAACAACATTTACTTAGTAATGTTTTCCTTCATAAAAATAAATAAATACTTTACCTTAAATACTTTTTAACAACAGTCATTTATATTAGTCAGGTAATATGCATCTTTGTGATCTAAAGTTACTAAATAGGTAATAATTATTCTGTATAAGCTTACATACTGTGCGATAATCCTCTAGTTTAAAATGTTCAGTATTCACAAGTGTTAAGTTTTTCAAATTCAAAATGAAACATAGGTACCATTTGGTTTCTTATAACAAAGACTGGAGAACAGAATCGATCACTTGTAACCATCATGTTTCAATGGCATTCGTACTGAGTAACAATTTAAATTTTAATTTAATCTGCCGTTGGTCTACCAATAGCAAATTATTGTTTAGGGGTAGAGACCCCTGTTGAGGTAATTATTTATAACCCTGGACACAATATAATATCACAGGATCACTAGTGATTTGCTTCCAATTGTTAAGAATAAAAACTGATTCTGCCTACCTTAGCATTATTTTTACCCTCGTCTCCTTGCTGGTTTTGACGATTGCATGTCGGCCCGCCTGACCTCTGGAACCTCTGTGATCACATCCGAGGAGGGCCCCACCAGTTTGAAGCACAATTGTTCTCGTTCTAAGCACTGATTTCAGGTCACCTTATGAAGTTCTTCTTTTTCTCATTCACTGTCACCTTTAATTCCTTTCATGATTATTGAACTGCCCTTGCAGTTTTTATTTTTTCAATCAGATTATTATCAAACAAAATCTCCATTCTCAGTTTCAAGTAATGAGTCCTTAGATTGATACTTTTTATTGTTGAGAGTGCCAAGTTTCTACATCAATTGGTTTCCGGAACATATATAATCACTTAGCTGCTAACCCGCTTCATTCAGTTTCTTAATACAGTTTTAGTTGTTAATGATCTCCAATACACATCTATACAGCATGGCCTACACAGGCCAAGACTGTGGACATTTGTTTCTGTCGGGTTTCAATTACTTGATCCCTTCTCTTAGCCCTGTCATTTAGAGCAGCGGCAACTTCCTTATTATGTTTTTGAGCACACATCTTGAGTACATTCTGGAAGGCTGGATTGTCTTTTGTAACTGTTTCTTTTTCATCTTTTTTCAGACCTTTCTCCAGGATCTCGCACCATCTCTCAGCAATTTGTTTGAGCAGAAGTGCATTCTTAGGGGCTGGAGCGGGAGCCACACCTAGTATATTTAGTACTTCATCCCCTAATTCCTTCTTTTTGTTGTAATCCTCGTCAAGGATAAGATCCTCAAGGAATTCTGTTTCAGGATGATCATTCTCATTTTCACTTTCAATTTCACCTTCAATCTCCTTAACTGTAAAAGAAACCTGGATTGTCTTTTGTAACTGTTTCTTTTTCATCTTTTTTCAGTCCTTTCTCCAGGATCTCGCACCATCTCTCAGCAATTTGTTTGAGCAGAAGTGCATTCTTAGGGGCTGGAGCGGGAGCCACTCCTAGTATATTCAGTACTTCATCCCCTAATTCCTTCTTTTTGTTGTAATCCTCGTCAAGGATAAGATCCTCAAGGAATTCTGTTTCAGGATGATCATTCTCATTTTCACTTTCAACTTCACCTTCAATCTCCTTAACTGTAAAAGAAACACTATTGAATGGAAGCTCCCGGTACTGTGCTGCATTGTACCGCGAAATTTACATGCATTCCCTCCGGATGCATCGAGGTTTGCCGACAACGTGTGCGTCCGTCATAGAAAACATAGTTGCATAGCTTGTCATGCATAAAAGTTGCGTGCATTCCCGAAGAATGCCCTTGGTAATTATTGCCAACCGTGTGTGTTCCCACAGAACACCCCAGTGGTTGCATAAATAGACAAGTATTGTTNGTATAACATCATTTTTTTTTTTTTTTTTTTTTTTTTTTTTTTTTTTTTTTTTTTTTTTTTTTTTAAACATTGCAGATGTTGTAGCGTTCCTAATGCTATGAATGTATGGTAAAGATTGATGTGTCTATACCACTTTCTGTCATGCACTTCTCTATCCAACAGCTGATTGTGCTGGAGGAAACCTTTTTGTGTGTTTTTCTAAGATGTTTTATTGCACCAAACTAATCACTAAGTGCTTGAGCAGGACAGATCTCTACTNCATAATTCTTCTAAACATAAAACATCATCCAATTAGAGAAACATCCAATCCTTAATCAATGCCCTGATCGAGTTTAAGTTTTCAGAGTACGAGCTTAAGATTGGTCGATTGTATTACTGTTGCGTAAAATTACATTTCTTTATTACATATGGAAATTATTTAATATAATCTTCTGTCTTATTTGCTATCGCTCCCCGAGCATCGCGCCATTGACTTTCTTGGTGCCATTAACCGAATAACCCATTGCACAAAGAACTGGCACTTTTCAAGGTGAACGCACACATATGCACCATGCATGCGCACGTCTCAAAATAATATCCCACACATCCCCACGCCAGAAAACGTTTTCGACCTTCCCACTCAAATATAGAGTCGCTTTTACAAAAATCCCGAGTCCAGACAGCGAAGGGTGCACCCACACATGAAAACGCAGACGGCATAAACAGAATGCAGTCTGGTTGCACACATACACAGCTTTGTGTTGATTTCGTAAAAATACTAAATTAAATACTAATGCGAAAATACTGTGTGGTTTTCAGTACGTTTATGTTAATACAAATTAAGATGCACACATTACTAGTGTACCTACACCACTATAACACTACTGTGTACAGTTTTACACACACATGAAGCCATTTCAGGGAAATACGTGTCAGTGTGAGTGTGAATATGTACACAGTTGTCCTGAGGACAGAGTCACTTATGTCTGTGTGATGTAACGCAGTATTGTTATAATAATATTGTTTGGAAAAACAATGTTTTGTAATTTTACTAGATAAGTTTTATATGTTATTTTATTCGTTATTTATGACTTGATTAACCTATTTATTTGTTAAGTCTGGCCGATTTCCTTTGTTTTTGAAGTGAACGTTTTGTTCTGAGATTGTAGTTTATGTGATTATTGAACTTTTGAATAATGATAATGAAAATATTAGACGGTAAATAAGTGTGGAAAATTAAATAAATGTTATTATCTTTTTTATAATGCAATAAAACTTTGTTGGCTGTGGCCGAGCCACATATAAAGTGGTGAATTTAGTTGTTGTATCTAATTTATTTTATTATCCATCATAGTTAGATAGAGTTGGAAAATTATGTAATTAAAAGATAACAAAAGATCTGTATTCACTCTAGTCATTATGAATGGGTCCCGGAAAATAATAACATAGTCTATTTACGTTAAATTTTCTCATTATTATACATTTTATCATACACAATGTCCTGGCGTAGACATAATAAATCTATACTAATATTATAAAGCTGAAGATGTGGAACATGACGCTCAACCACCATAAGGAGTTAGAGCATTTAATTTACACAATCTTGGTTTGTCTATATATACTGGGCAGGGTAAAAAACTTCGTCACCGCGATGCAGGATTGTATGCGCGGTGGAGTTTGCCATAGTAAGATCGTAACAGCGCCATCTGTTGGTACGGTTTGTAGTGGCGCAATTTATTAATCACAGTTTGTTTATTTGGTTGAACGCGCTAATCTCAGGAACTACTGGACCAATTTGAAAAATTCTTTTTGTGTTGGATAGTCCGTTAATCCCTGAAGGCTTTAGGCTATATATCATCACGCTAAGACCACTAGGAGCGGAGCACCAATGAAGAATGTTTCAAATCAGTGATTTTTTTCCTTTTGAGAGCTGACGCTGCGTAAACGGTTAAAGTTTCGCATAAATTATGTATGATAGGATTTTCCCCTTTTTAAAGTTCTACAAAAAAGTCCGCTACAGCATATGTCTATCTTTTATGGTTGGCTCACTGTAACCTTTTTGTCTGGATGTCTGGATGTTTGTTCCTCTTTCACGCAAAAACTAATAAACGGATTTTGTTGAAACTTTACAGTATTATTATTTATAACCCAGGCTAATATATAGGCTACAATTTATGACGATATGTGACAAACTAAATTTCAATAAATAGTTAAGAGGTGAGAAATATCCTTAAAAACGCCATCTATCGATAGAATACCAGTGGTCGTGACGTTCTCTCTGCCGTCACGGCTTATACTGAGCAGATGTCATTTTGGTGCATGTACTTTACTGTTTGGTTTTGTTATATCTATTTGTTATTTTATTTTGTACTAGCATCGAATAAATACTTTTCTTTCTTTCTTTCTTTCTTTCTATCGACGTGCTTTTGACGGTCGTAAATATTAATGAGAGCGAAGCCGTGAAACGTATCATTAGTCCTAATTAGGAACTATATATTACATTTATAGAACTGTTCATAATATTTAAAATTTAGTCATTATAGATATTTTATGTAATTGAATAATTCACTGTGTTTAAACGAGCAAATCAAAGTCTAAATTAGTGACCGCCATCTATCGACGTGCTTTTGACGGTCGTTAACATTCATGAGAGCGAAGCCGTGAAAAGTATCATTAAAATTTTATGTAATTGAATCATTCACTGTGTTTAAACGATCAAATAGTATTCAAACATTTAGATAATAACGTTAAAAACCATTTAAAAATCCTATGAGAACTTTTTCGACTTCTACACGGACGAAGTCGCGGGCAAAAGCTATTTGTAAAATCATCATCATCATCATCATCAAATCATTTCAGCCATAGGACGTCCACTGCTGAACATAGGCCTTTGTAAAATAATTAGACTAAATTATTAAAAGTGCCTACCCAAAGTCATTAGTCCACGCGGACGAAGTCGCGGGCACAGCTAGTATATTAATAAAACAATAGTATGTAAGTACGTAAATATGTAACATCTTTTTCAAAACCAAAATGCGTCTTAACAATTTTTTATCCTCTTCGTTTGTGGTTCGAAGAAACATCTAAAAAACGGCTTTAAAATATCCAGCTCTTTTATGTTTTGCCAAAGAATCTAGATATTCGCGTTCGTAGAACTGCGAGTCCTTTTGAAGGGCATTTTCTATGCCAACGGCCCGGGGCAAAAACCTGAGGTGGGTAAACTTTGCAAAACAAATTTTATTACTTAAACTTATGTGAATTGCAGGTTTGGGAGTCGATGACTTGTGAAGCGTAAATACATTACATGTATTTTTGTTTATTATTTAACCAGCTTTTGCCTATGGATTTGCTTGCGTTAAAGTGAAGATCCCATTTTGGAAAATCTCTTGGCGAACGCCTACTTTATGGTCACTTTCTGCATCCTTTTAGCATAATCCGATCAGTTGTTTCATTTGTGTGTTGAAAGATCAGTCAACTGTAAGCTAATTGAATCAATACAAATATTTATTTCATTTGATGATTCTGATTCTGATTCAAAATATTTAGCCTAGGCGCACCCCTTTAGTTGGCCGATAGTTGGGCCCGATTATTGAAGAATCGGCCGATACCAAATCGGCGTAATGTGCGCACGTTCATACATCTCCAATACTGATTAACAGCCCGAATCAACTATCGGCCGACTAAAAGTCGGTGCTCTGCGCCTAGGCTCAGTGAGACGAACTTTTTTCGAACTACAACGCCAGTTTCGTGGGTTTGAACTCCGTAGGAGACTGATTTCTTACCTTATTTCCCATATAATAATAAACTTACCTTGCTTGACTTTAAGTAATATTAGGCGCACACCGTTGATTTTTCGTCGGCCGATAGTTTTGCCCGATTTTAAATTGTATGAAGAATCGGCCAAATCGAATCGGCGTAGTGTGCGCACTCCCATACACGCCCATTGCCCATACTGATCAACTGCCCGACTAAACTATCGGCCGACGAAAAATCAACGGTTTGCGCCTACTCTAAAGATATGACAGATAGTAAATTATGGATCGCAAATGTCTGCTGTCATAAATCATAAGCAGATACAAATTAATTGTGACCATGACATATTCTTCTTCTTCTTCTTCACGACATAGCAAAAAGCCTGTTCAGTTAGGCGCCACATATCGTTTCAGTTTTATTATGTAAATTAAGTATTATTATAATGTATCTATGTTATAAAACTCATAGTCGGTCACTTTTGACCGCAAAAATCAGTCAAAAGTGGTTTTAACTGATGGACTGATATCACTTTTGACTGATTTTTATAGTTAAAAGTGCGTTATCAAAAATTTCAAATCAGTCAAAAGTCGAAAAATCAGTCAAAAGTGATATTGACCAAGAACATCAGTCAAAACCACTTTTGACTGATTTTTGCAGTCAAAAGTAGTTTTGACCGATTATGAGTTTTGACTGTAACACAACATAACATTTTTGACTGTCTATATTAAACAATGCAAAGGTCGCAGCCATAGTGATAGTGAAATGTATGTATGTATTTGCTCATACATAAAAATACATAATTCAGCGTGGCTTTACACGTGCATTCAAATACTACTCTCATTCACATGGATCTTAAGTTATTTATTTTTATGTAAAAATATTCTCACGTTTGATTTTTAAAAATATCCTAGATTTACAGGTTGTGGGTAGACGATGTTTCGATAATTCATGGGAGATTTATTTCTGGCTGATTTAATTTTGCTAAGGCTAAAAGGTTCATAAATTTTTGTATAATTTATGAACTATTGACAAATAAAAAAGCACTCACTACTTACCTATAACTAGGTTTTGAGTAGTAGTATCTTCTGGTAATCGCAATCCGTAGAAAATTTCCAGCAAGTTATGGGTTTGATTCCTACTAGAGACGAAAGCTACTGTCATGAGCACGCGTAATTTATAATAACCGACTTTATTTCTGTAACTTTTCTAGTAGCGTTCATCGTTTACAGTGCAACTTTGTTGCTAACTTTTAAATTTACA